CGACTGATTGTTGTCCTATGGACAGACTCTCCCACCTCAGCTGTAGTTATCTGCAGTTCATCCAGAGTGATCATGGGCCTCTTGGCTGCATCTCTGATCAGTCTTCTCCTTGTTTGAGATGAAAGTTTGGAGGGACGGCCGGGTCTTGGTAGATTTGCAGTGGTCTGATACTCCTTCCATTTCAATATAATTGCTTGCACAGTGCCCCTTGAGATGTTTAAAGCTTGGGAAATCCTTTTGTATCCAAATCCGGCTTTAAACTTCTCCACAACAGTATCTCAGACCTGCCTGGTGTGTTCCTTTGTCTTCATGGTTCTCTCTGCGCTTTAAACAGAACCCTGAGACTATCAAAGAGCAGGTGCATTTATACAGAGACTTAATTACACACAGGTGCATTCTATTTATCATCATCAGTCATTTAGGACAACATTGGATCATTCAAAGATCCTCACTGAACTTCTGGAGTGAGTTTGCTGCACTGAAAGTAAAGGGGCCGAATAATATTGCACGCCCCACTTTTCAGTTTTTTATTTGTTAAAAAAGTTTAAATTATCCAATACATTTCGTTCCACTTCACGATTGTGTCCCACTTGTTGTTGATTCATGACAAAAAAATAAAATTTTATATCTTTATGTTTGAAGCCTGAAATGTGGCTAAATGTTGAAAAGTTCAAGGGGGCCGAATACTTTCGCAAGGCACTGTAAAGCTGTGTCTCATCTGCATAGCAGTGAAAGTTAATTCCATGCTTTTTAATTATGTTGCCTAACGGCAGCATGTAGATTGTGAAAAGAATCGGTCCTTGTACCAATCCCTGTGGCACACTGAAATCCACTCCAGAATAAGGTGACGAGTTTTGATTCACGTGATACCGATCCGATGCATAGGATTTAAACCAGCCAAGGGCTGTTCCTCCAGGACCTATGTCACAATCCAGCCTCCGCAGTAGAATGCCGTTGTGTATTGTGTCAAATGTAGCGCTGAGGTCCCGTAGGACCAACACTTAACACTGACACAGCTAGTAGTAAGTCATACGTGACTTTAACTAGTGCTGTTTCAGTGCGATGATGAGCTCTGAATCCTAATTGAAAGATTTAAAATATATTATTTTCCTTCAGATGGCAGCATAGTTGTTTAACAATAAGATTTTCAAGGATTTAAGATATAAAAGTAAAGTTTGAGATGGGTCTGTAGTTTTTAACTAGTTCTGGATCCAGGTTTGCTGTTTTTAGAAGAAGTTTGATTACCACGGTTTTATAAGCCTGTGGGACATAGCCTTTTTGAATAGATGTATTTATTATATTTAAAATAGGCTCTAATATCAAAGGAAGTCCTGTTGGCTGTTGAGGGTTTGGATGCTACCTGTATCGAGTTTTTGAGGAAAGTGGACTTGGACATCTTTTTAAATAAATGACCCCAGAGTTAGTTTGTACAATCAAAACAATAAAAGCCCTAACATTGACTCCTGGGGAACACAAGACCTTTTTGTAAGATAGGATTTGAACCATTTTAGGGTAGTGCCTTGAACACAACATTTTCAAGGTAAGAAATTATCCACTCTGTCAAATGCTGCAGTCAAATCTAGAAGCAATAACATTAAAGTGATTGTCTGCAGTTTGTCAGAAAGAGAGAGAGAGAGGTACTTGATTTGAAAAAAACGACGCAAGCTCCCTCCCCCTTCCTTTCTGATTGGTCTACACCTACGTTTCCGTAACACTTTGAAATGTTAATGAGAGAACACATTATACATATGCATTATTAATACACATGCACGGAGGTTTTCAGAATTATTTGTTAATGGTTTCATGAAAAAAATAATGTTTTAATGCACACAAAAAACGATCGCGGCAAACCGGGAAGTAGCTATTATCATGAATTGCACATTATAGGACACATCTGCAGAGGATCTGATTATGGATATAGGTTCAGTATATCAATAGGTAAGTCAGCGCGGATGTTCAGAATTCTTTGTTCAGTTTTCATGTAGTTTCAGAGCCTAATAGAGGCTTGATTCAGAGGCTCCGTGAAAACAAACAACTGAGCATGCGCACAGCTGCGAGCATGAGCGCCGATGATTGACAGCCCTTGGCATCAGATTCAGATTCAGATTCATTTATTTGCCATTTGCAGTAAAACCACATTGGAAAAACTGTGCAAGACTACCCCGGTGTGCACCAGACAGAGAAGACGACACACACCAGAGCTCTTGTCACTTGATTGGTTGACGTGGACGGCATCGTGGAACTTACCTGTAATATTAGAATTAATTAAATTACTTATTTTATATCAATATTTAAGGCCAGGAGGTCAATTTGATACAATTATTAAAATTTGTATTTCATTTAGAGTTACATACTATCACTTTAAAAAACAGAATCAACAGATAAAGTGGGATCATAAATAAAATAGGATCACTCCCAAAAGTGCAGTGTCGGTGCTGTGAGAGTTGAACAGTATGTCTGAAGGACATTTGGGACGCACCCTGAGGTAAAAAAAAAACAGGTATTTGACTGTCATAAACCAGTAAAGAAGAGATTTTATCCTTTAAATATACTCGGACAATCTGACGAATTTTTGATGCTCTAAACTTTTTTAAATCCAATTTTGCCTGGACTAAATGGTCGTGCAGTGTCAAATCCATCCAGGATATTGACAACCCATTTCAAATGCCCTGATCATACTAGAATACAGTTCAAACTATTCAGTATATACCTATTTATTTCTGACATTCAATAATGAAACATGCACCACAGGATTTATGGAATCCCTTTAGTCTAGTGCTGTAGCCAATACTATGTTGGATATTGTTTTATTGTTTGTTGTTGTTGATTGTTTGTTGTATTAAAGCAAATTGATAAGCTACATTCCACAACACAGAGTGGAACCATACTGTTTGTGTAAGTGGCAGCAGAGATGAATAAGTATCTGGAAGAGGAGAGAGAGTTGGGCGTCTATGTTATGCAAGCAATCCTCAGTATGCATGTAGATTGGGAGATGTGTGGTTCCTGCGGTTGGCTGTCCCCTGTGTCACTGCCTCTAAAACAGATGCCAACAGAAATGTCTTCTTTACAGGCTTTGGCAGCCACATGCTCTGGAATATGTGGACGAAGCAGTGTGTAGGATACAGATTCCGTCAAGAAATATTCCATATGAAAGTGGCCTTAACTTTTCTCACTACAATATCTGGATAATTCTTTTCCTTGTCCACACAGGTTGACTGAGTATTTTCTCAACAGAATTCAAATCTCAGGTTCCAAAAGTTGCCTAAAACTGTTCTTCAACGTCATTTACAAGTGCAGTATTTCTTTGGAGCTTTGAGCCAACGTCTGCTCAATTCATCAGATCCAGTGACAGAATCATTTTTAAACTGCTCTGTTCCTGAAGTGTCGCAAAGAAACATTCCAATATCGCTGTGTCAGGGCTGAGTAATCACCCATGGCTGATGCTGTAAAGATCATAGTTTTAAACAACCGAGTGAGAGGCATACATCACAAGATTTTGAAACTTGATATTATTCCACTATAATAACCATGGAAGGTTGTAATTATGGCACTTCTGTTTCACTGTTGACTACAGTTAGTTATATGACTTAATTGTTTTATTGCCTGTTCATATCGAATAGGTCTGTTTGACTCCCAGATGTTTTATGGGAACATAACTGTCTTTTATATGATTAGCTGTTTAGTCATAACAGTCCATGGGGTTTCCCACATCAGTCTGCATCGTAGTGTCTGACCAAGAAATATTTCCTATATTTTCTGATTGATTGACTGTAATACATGCATGTGATCCATAGTGAGTTTATTCAAAACCTAGTATGAAGTTCAGTTTGTCATACTTCAACTAAAGCATCCTCTTGGTGTTGGACCAGGGCACCACTGAGGCTGACCACAGACACAAGCTCAGAGCTCAAAGTGCTGAAGCAGTGCATCGACATTCCCCTGATTCATAATGTTCTGAAAAAACAATGAAATCCAGTGATTTGGTTTCTTTTGACTGTTTTCTGAACGTATGCCCTCCCTAAAGCCAAATACCAGTAGGTGAATGTCAAGACCTACAGTATACAATTACGAGTAGCCCATTGAGTAGGACTGATTGATTATTTTAGTAATTGAGTAATCTATCAATAATTACCTTTGACTAATTGAGTTTTCAGTTCAGTTTTTTTTCATTCTGAAATGCATCAAATCTATGGATCTATAGCCCGTCCATTCGTGTGGAGCGGATCCCTCTCTCAATGTGCGTCTCCCTGAGGTTTCTCACTTTATTCCCACTGGGTTATTTTTACCTTGCCGAGGCAGGAGGGTCTGTTGGACAGTTTAGTGTCTAACAAAAAGGACTGTGGTGATGATCCAGGACACTTTAACATTCTAAAACACACATTTATCAACATGTTTTGAGAAATGTCTCTGTCTCTGATCTATGTTGGTGATTTCAATGGTTTTGTTAAGTCCTCTGAGATGACTTCTGTTGTGATTTAGAATAAATTGTATTGTATTGCATTGCATGTGTCGTCTGTGCTATACAGTTGCAAATACATTTACAAATTATCCAAATAATCACAGCAATCAAATTGTGATTTAAACTTCTTTGAAATTGAATAATTAGATTGACTTATTGTTTCAGCTCTATGAATAATATATTTGAGTTTACATTGTTTTTAAAACTTTGATAAAATAATGATGTGAACAGATTATTATTGAGATTGTCTTCTCCCATTTCTCAATCTGTGACTTTCTATTGTGCAATACATCAATGAGCTGCGTCTTTTTTGTGAATTCCTTAAGTACTTTCATTGTAAAACTAGATTTTAAACTGTGACATCAGCCATTAATGGTACAACATGTTGTCATAATGTTGGTCAAGTACTAGAGTAGCCCCTTTGTTAACTTCGTAAACTTTAGCGTCCGTTTCCATAATTATGACTTTAGTCGTCTGACAGGTCATGGCAGTCCCTGCGATGATGAAGTGATGGAGTTGTTAGGAGGCCTGGTCCTTTGTGATGTTGGGAGGCTGTTACTCCGGAGTTGCCATCTGCCGTAAAGGTCAGTTGCTAGGGGACGATTCTTCTGGACACTGTCTGCCTCCCAGCTGCCATCCACTCACCCACACACATACACGCGCATACATGCACACTCACACACACGCACGCATGTAAGGGCATGCACACACACACACACTAAGTTGGGAATGTCCAAAAAAGTAACGTATCTTGCAATATGCACTGCACACACTCATATTGTTCTTTCTTACAAATGAGTATGAGACTCCACAATATTGACTAGCTCAATGTAAAATTGAGGTCCATGATTCCAATGGTAAAATTGTTTCATTTATTTTTCATCACTTCATCTGCTTTATGCTGTATCTCTTTTCCACTCTGCTTTGCCTCTTTTAATTTGTATTCTATTAAAATCAACTATTATGCAATGTGTAGCAAACACGTACTTGTTGTGGCAGACGTTTTGTTTTCATGTCTGTCACTGTGCGTTATTTGTCTTATCATTTCTCCTTCAAGATGCTGTCTCTTTTGCTCCACAAATGAATTTTGTATAGAGGATCTGTTGTTTTGTGTTTGTGGCTGCCTGCGTGCCGCCTGGCATCCCCGTATGTCAAAGGTGGCTTAAGCAGAACAGACTGTGGGAACAGCCGGTTAGCCTCCTCAAGGTCCCCTGCTCCCCGACTAGTGGGGTTGCCATCAATCCAATGCTCCCCCTACCCCACCATACACACCAACAAACCCACAAATGCCCAACCAAACACACATTCATAACACAAAGAGTGTGATGCTCACACCCAATAATCCTCGGAAGCAATTTCATCTCGACTCGGGTGGCGGCCCATTGTCGCCAGCCCCTTCAATCTTTCCTTATTAACTCTCGCTTTGTCCTGCATCCGAGCTTCAGGACTCATCTCTCCTACATTCCTATCGTCGCTGCTCCTAGCACTCCCAGGCAACCTCCATTCGCTAATCCCTCCTTGTCCCCCCACCAGCTACCTCATCCCACGAATCTCTTGCCGCTGTCTTTCCAAACCTGCCGATCACCTACTTACAGGCTGAGGTAGGAGCATTAACTCCATGGGCGCTCTGAAGTCAGGGTGTGAAGGCGTGAAGGGGCGGCGTCCACAAAGTGACTCCAGCCCAGACAATTAGAACAATGAGCTGGGCCTGTAGGAGGCTAACTCGCTGCGTCACGCCTGGACGGTGGGGTATTTTGTCAGTTTAATGAATTGTCCGTCAGGCCAGGGCCATATCGCAGGCCGCGCAGGGAGAGGCCAGCAGGAACCCAGACACTAAGTCGGTATTTATTACACTGCCTTTGTCACTAATTGAGCTAATTATCACTGACTCCTTAGCACTCCCACAGGCTGCACCCCCTACACTGTCCCACTCCAATCTCACGCAAGGGATTTGAACTCTTGTCTTCCTCGACAAATAATCTGTCTGGCAATTTTTACCATTTCTCTGTTTGCACTCGTATATATGTAAAAAAATCCACTAGTATTGAACAGTACTTTCAATATGGCTTGCAGCTTTATATGTGAGCTGTGTGTGTGTGTGTGTGTGTGTGTATTAGAACAGATTATTTTTTTGTTTCAATGTAACATCCATGGATGATACCCACTCGTTACACCCAACTTTATCGATCTTCGCACATGTATAGATGTTTGTTGAATATATCCACAAATGTAGTACTTCTCATTTAAATGTTCAACTTGACAGTGCATAATGTGAATAAAAATTAACATAAATATATATATATATATATATATATAACATAATTGTAAGTTACAAATGTTTTTTTTTTATATATATATATACTATAATATAAGTCATTTTATGTACAGTGTTGGTCAAGCTGTACGTTTTCTTGTCAGTAAATGAGACTTTGTATCCAAGTGCTGTAAATGTATACTGTATAAAGTAGGGGGTTGTGGCGAGATAAGTAGTCTCTGTGGTTGGGGGCACAGATGTAGAAATGTTTTGTGAGCTGCAGAAAAGGGCTGCTTTAGAGTTAGTAATAGGATTAGGCAAAGGACACCCAGGGACAAGCTTATATGTTCACTTGGATGGCTGTCCAAACTCCCAAACACACAATGCATACTGTCATCTTTGGCATTCATCCACACTGGCATGTTAATTGAAAATAAACTTTATTGCTCTATTTTTTTCAATACAAAAAGAAAATCTAACTTCCTAAAACATTGGATCCCATTCTACAGAAATAAATATTTTGTATTTATTTACAGATTTTAAAAGTAGATATTCAGTGCATGACCTCATACATTACAAAGTACAAGATGTATCTGACAGTGGATGTGTGTCATTGAATGAATAAAACACACAATTTCTAGGTTCATGTTCCCTATAGCTTACATGTGACACATTTATAAATACACTTCTATTTTATCAAGACCAGCCTTTTGTTTTTGTTTTTTCGTTAGAATTAATAATTTTTGGTGGTGGCCTTTGCTACAAACTACAGATACAAGTTATTCCATGCCAATTCCGATGTTTTTCTAATAATATTTCTTAACAATCCACGGCAGCCGAAGGTCGTTAATCTTTGCTGATATTATCTGGCTTAAAAATAGGGCAGATATTGTTTTTTAATCTTAAGTAAAAAATAATTATTTAACATTACTAAAACGTATTTCTTGTCTACCCAGTGTACTGCTCTACATAATAACAGTAGAAAATGAATGAGCCCTGATTTAATTCAAATCTGTAAGACGGCAAAACATTTTGTTCAGTGCCTTTTTTGCATTTAAGTGTTGATGTAAAGCTTTAGGCCCTTTGTTTAATCAGGTAGTGAGCCAAACTAAAATATTGGCCGGCACGCGAGATTGAGGCCGATAGTGGATACGATATAAAAAAGTGCAAAAAATTGGCCTATTAGTGTTAGTCAACCGATAATGGTTGTACTCTATATATCAAAATCATTGAATTACACTTCATACTGACAATAAGGGTTGTTTTAAAGACCGACTGTCAGCTACAATTGATATATTTATCTTTGCCTGAGATTTGCCAGACAGCCCATATATTCAGTGCATGCATACATTCAAACTCAGCCAGTAAGTTTTCTAGTTATGTGGAATTTCTGTTTTGCTTGGCAGTTTTTGTTTCCAGTTTACGTTTGGACAGAGACGCTTCCAGTGAACATCATGTGGTAAGTTAGATGGACAATAGGGAGTTAAGGTGTATCAGCACCAACATAATCTGAACAGAAAGTGGTGAGGAGTTAGGCCTGTACCCTGGGCCTAAAATAATACGAGTATATACTGACGTCTAATTCATTTTCATGTAAGAAAAGCCAAGCTTTAGCAAAAGAAAAAAATGTCCTAACTGTTTGTCCTCTTGTCAGAGGACCTCACCAGTTTATGAGAACATGTTTGTGGCTCTGTGGTCAGTGGCCACAGAAACATCTGTAAAAGATTGGGTCCAGTCTTTGGCCTACGTGGGAGAGGCTGCAGTCCTACCTGGGTAGAGTTATCATTTCTGCACTGCATAAGCCTCCGTTTAAGCATTTATCTACATTGTAAACATGGGACGTGAGTAGTCCCATTTTTGTGTTTAAATATTCCCCTATTATTGTGAAGAACTAACCCTAACCCAAAGCTCTTACAGCATTTTGATACCCTGTTTATATTGTTTAGCCGCAAAGTCCCCAAGATGCATTTAGTCATTATTTTAAAAAGTGATGACCTTTCTTTAGAAATCATAGACACTGGTGTAACGTCCGTGTACTAGTGCAGTTGAGGCAGCTGACGTGACAGCACCAGTGGAAAGTGCAGTGGCACCGCTCTGTCACACTTTCAGTTCGTGACTTATATCCACGGCCACAGCACAGCAGCTCGCAGCCATCCAGACCAGGAGAGGAGCTGTTGCATGTCCTTCCAGAGGTACCCAGAGTGCCAGTTTTCCCATTGTAGGAACAGAAATTCGGAGATTTCTCAAAATACACAAGGTCCATGGGAGATGGAACTTTATGAGCTGAGTTTTCAGGCTCCAAATGTCTTGGGTCAGCTCTGTGAGAGGCTCTGTTGCTCCCCTTGTTGCCGTAAACCACTCTAGATGCTCCATCAAAGCGGTCCTTTAGGAAGTCTCCTACTGTGCGAAAGTTGGGCAGGCGCATCCAGCAGGTACGCACAGTACAGGAACCTGACATGCCATGGCATTTACACTCTTGATGCATCTCTGATGACACAGTCTGCATGAAAGACATACCATAAGATAACCTTTTTCAGTCCCACAGTAGCAAATTTCAGTGTTTCAACAGACATTAATAACAGCAGGAATAGAGGAAGCACTCAAGCTAAGATTAACAGCTGTGAATATTAGATAATAAATAAAAAACTTAGCTGGAAAATAACAGTTGTTTTTGTGCAATGCACTTACAGTAAATATAATTTCCATCCAATGCTTTTTACCCACCAGTCTTCCTGCTTCATTGTTGTGTAGGTTGGTGAGGTAGCGCAGATCCCGGCCTTTCTCACTGGAGTCCACAAACTCACTTGTGAACATGCGGCCAAAGTCCACATTGTCACTGCAGCCTCCCCAGTGCCAGTCTGGCCCTCCAGGACCTCTGCGGCGGTAATCACACGTGCAGGACTCTATGGCCCCCTCTGAGCAGGAGCGGGCCACTGCATGGGTCACTCCTGCACTTGTAATAGCAAATACAAATGCTGTTTCTCTGCAACCTGAACAGACATGAATTCACTCAAGATTTGTTTCCAACAAAATTCATATTTTGTCATTTTTTTCCCTTTTAAATCTTCAAGATATAATTTCATGAGAGATATAGTGTCCTACCACGGTTGACAATTTTGCCAAATATTGCTGGGCTGTGGGTGGTCGGGCAGTTCCAGCGTCGGTTGCGGAATTGCCACTTGCACTCTTTTATGGCCGTGTGCAGCCCTGCAGCAATGGCGTGTAAGATGCCAGGGTTCTGCCGGATCAGTCGTCGCTGGCGTCGACTCAGCAGAGCCAGGCTGGGGTCCAAGACCAACTGTACATTCTTGGAGTTGGTGAGCAGGTTAGAAGATGATGCCACATTGACAATGCCCCTAAACACATTACAAGGAAATCTTTTCAATAATAATAGCACAAAATCATCATAATAATTATATGTTGAAGATTGCACTCATCTGCACACATACAAATAAATGTTCTCTGTTCTTATGTCTCAGGCTGAGACACTGATAACCCAAAAGCCACTGGAGGACAATTTCCAAGAAATAAAATGTAATAATAATAGTAAGTAAGTAAGTAAGTTTTTATTTATATACCGCCTTTTCACTGCAGATCTGAGTCTCAAAGCGGTTTACAATTGTTAATTTTGGGCATTTGTCTCTCACTCCACACAGAGATGGGAGCGGGGTCGCCAGTACAGGAGGCGCATGCCAGAACTATTGGACATATTTTTAGTGGTACACTAAAAATAGGTAGGGGAAACCGGAGTACCCGGAGGAAACCTACGCAGACACGGGGAGAACATGCAAACTCCACTCAGAAAGGCCCTGGTCCGACCGGGATTCGAACCCAGGACCTTCTTGCTGAGAGGCGAGAGTGCTATCCACTCAGCCACCGTGCCGCCCCAATAATAACAACGTACAATGTCTTTTAAATGCACTTTACAGTCTTTTAGATTGATTATTTTACTAAAGTATATAAAGTAAAAAGCCTGTAATAACAAGTCCTGTTACTACTGGGGACCAAAAAGGCAGGCTGACGCTGCAGCGACACGTGTGTGGCACAATAATACATTCATGTGTGTGGAAATTCTGTTTCTTAACACCACACTAAGGACTACAAGCATGGTTATTAATCATATCAATATATTAACATAATTGAGTTCTCATGCAAATATGTTTTAATTGAATTAATGAACGTTCAAGCAACACACATTTTATGTAATGTGTGTTGTATATATTGTGTCTCTTTGTGGTTAGGTATTTTTCGTGTTTTCTAAAGGCTTACTGGGTAATTCAATTCTTCGCTCACTGTAAACCTGCTGTCACTTTGCCTCTGCCAAGGGGCTACGGATGAAAATTAGCTTGTAGCTATGACCGGTCTGAAGAATATTTTTGTTTGTCCCAGTCAAAAATAAATAAATAAAGGGCAAGAGCAGCGAGAAAAAGTATAAAGTAAAATAACGCGTCTCCACTTGTTGAATGTATTAATGTGGTGAGTGCATCCTCACTGTGCGTGTGTGCGTGTGTGGACTCACCACCACCGGCCGCTGTTGTTGACTGCACCGGTCCCCGAGAGCGAGGACACCAGCAGGATGCACGCCGCTTTGACACTGAGCAGCAAAACCAGGCTCTTCATTGCGCCCACTCCTTACTGCCTGTGGAAACCAACACTTTCATGCCACAAGTTCCAAAAATCTACTTATTGCAGGAATATCAACGTAAATATAATATCTAGTCATACGGCTGATACAAGGGATCTTAAGTGGGAGATATATTACAAATACAACTTACTTAAAGACTCTGCTTTGTGTAAAGATGAAGTAAAGACGCACAGATCTAATTGATCTGAGTGTTGAGGGAAGACAGGATGTTATGCCGAAAGTATCCAGGCAGGAGGATACTGCTACTGCTGCTGCTGCTGCTGCTGCTGCTGCAGCCCTCCTCAATGTGTCTCGCTTATTGATGCTCTGCACGGCGCATTGAACGCGTGGGACAGTCCCGAAGACTTGATCCCCTCGGTGACTGATAGGCAACACATTCTTCTCTTATTGAGCGCTACGAGGAGAATAAAAAAGGGATTTGCTGCTCTCATCTCCCTCTGTTTTTCCGACCCTTTTCAATGGGATTGGAGGGAGGGATAGTTAATGCTCTTCACATGGTGCACAATGAATAAGGAAACACAACATGGTCTTAAAAAGAAAAAAGTAGGGCAATCCTTGAAGTTGCGCATATACTTGTGGAATGTCGCAGCCATCACATCACTGATCCCTGGAAGATGCTGCGGAGTTCCAAGCGCCCGGGAGCGCGCTCTGCACAGATGCGGCAGGCACTTCTGTTCTGCGCGTCGTTTTTACAAGCTGCTGTCACAGTGTGATACAGTTGGAACGCAATATGAGTATGTAAAACTGCCCCCTTTTGCCCAGCGGTTGAATTAGCCTACTCCCTAACCGCATCTACTCCTCCTCTCCAAACACGCTCCTTGAGTCCATAAGGCCAGTGCAGAATTCAGAACAGCTGTCCAATGTAGGCTACTGCTCATTTATCTTAGGGGGGAAAGAGCAACATTTTAGCCTAAATACATTTGATAGAACATTATCAAATGGATTAACCCAGAATGTTTTAGAAGTTTATCTTGTGACATAAACCTGATAAAGAATGAAACATCTGGCCGACAGACCCAGTGCACATGAAACCATGCACCACAGTCACATCTTGAGACACTTTGCGGCATCTCGATCTAACCGAACCAGGAGCAGTCCTAACTGTCACCAGACTGCTTCATAAGAGTTTACTCTAGTGTGTTGTCCTATGTGACATATACGCAATTTGCATGGCCCACTTTATCAGCTCCGTGGCTGCAGCCCTCTGTTCTTGGCTCTCTCTGAGATGACAGTAAAAGGAAGTGGACTTTTGTAAAGGGCTTTAATACTAGCGCCCTATTTCTGACTACAGGCTCTATAGAAGGTGCACAAACGAGTTTCCCGGAGCAGTCATGCGACACCGAGCAGATTAGAGGTTCAATCCGGATAAAGGGGGCCTTTTATATACAAATCAACTTAAAATCACTTTTTAAGCCACTTAGATATACACGCCAAAGCAGAATGCTAATGCACTTTTCATTGCTGCAGGTTGGTGAATGGAAGGAGATTAAATGAATTGATGTCACTATGCAAACTCTGCTCTGTGGTTTAACTTAATTTTATTAATGCCACTAGTGTCTATTAGGCTGCCCCAGGTCGTGAGCGTCGAGTTAGGCTACTGTAGGCTGTAGGAGCATACATCCTAGGCTACTACTTATTTTTGGAACTCCCGTATAGGCCTATTGCATGACGTATTCCACTAGATCATGCGTAAATCCGCCTCTTGAGGTTCAGGAGTCGTGAGCCTGCTGCATATTTCTGATGTAGCCCTACAGTCGGAGCTTTTGTCCCCCTAGCCATATGAATACTTATTGAAATAATTATTTGCATACAATTGTTGAAATATTATATTCAGTTATCAGTGGGTAAAGTCTCCTCATAGACGTAGTTTTGCATTAGAGACAAATGTTGGTATGCATACCAAACAAAACAATGGACAGCTCTGGTCCAACTTTTATATTGGCCAATATTTAGCAAACAGCCGCCCGTTGAGGCATCTCCCCTCCTCTTTCTCCCCCTCCCGTGTGCGGGTCCCGACTTTCTCATCTCGTCTTCAGTCTTCGCTCGTTTGGCGGTGAAACGATAATAGGCTGTTTTCTCCACTTCTGTTGTTTGAATTCCAGTTATTAGCTTTTATTAAAGACACTGAGAAACACGTGTTTTAATGTCACGTCGCGACAGAATTCTGACAAAATGGAGCTATCAAACAAACTCCGTTGGGACCAACTCCTGATTCTGGCAGCAGCGCTTATGTCACCTGCGTTGAAGTAAGTGTGCGTGATATTTCTGAGGTTTTCACGCAGTGTCGTTGGCTCTGCGCTGTTTTTGTTTATAATTACAGAGGGGATGTGGTTTCTGAAACGTTTACTACATGAAAACCATTGGGGTCATTTTTATTTATTTTTTTCATTGCGAGTATAAGCTTTAGGACTTAGGCTTTAATACGTTTATCGTTGCTTAATGTAATAAAAGGTTTTACGTGTCACTATTATACAAGCACACCGAGATATGTGACTGTTATTTTTATTTATTTATTCATCTAAACTACACAAACGAATTCATCATCACTCATGAAGCTGAACGGACCAATATAATAATTCACCCTCCCACTTCACACCTCCAAAATCTCCCATTTTTCTTTTTGTGCAGGGTATTGTGCAATGATATCCTCAGCCTGAAGGTGGCAGGAGACCCAGTGCTCACCCCTAACTCTGTATGTCTGAAGCTACCAGGCCTCAGCAAAAGGCAGATGCGAATGTGTGTCCGTAGTCCTGATGTCACAGCCTCTGCCCTGCAGGGGATTCAGGTGGCCCTACACGAGTGCCAGCATCAGCTCCGAGATCAGCGTTGGAACTGCTCAACATTGGAGGGTCAGGACAAGCTTCCCCACCACAGCATCATCCTAAACAGGGGTGAGAGTCTGAGGCAAGCCGTGATATGGAACTGCTTAAATGGAGAAGTTTGGTACATGGTTTAACAGCTTCATGATGAGGTCCTAAATCACTGATCAATCACTGTTTTTTTTCCCAGGTTTTCGTGAAAGCGCCTTCTCACTGGCTCTGCTAGCAGCAGGTGTGGCCCACTCCGTGGCTGCAGCCTGTAGTATGGGCAAACTGCGGGGCTGTGGCTGTGAAGCTAAGCGCAGGCTTGACGATGACAAGATCCGTCTAAAACTTTCACAGCTGCAGTTGCAGACGCTGCAGAAGGGCGGGGTGGGTATCAGCAGGACCCACTCGCTGCCTGCAGAAGTGACAGGTCTCCATGGCAATTTCCCTGCTCATCTTCAAGCTGCCCACACCTCCGCCATCCTAAAGACTCTACCCAGTGAGCTGAGCTCTCTGCAGGACACCTGGGAATGGGGTGGCTGTAGTCATGATGTTCGCTTTGGGGACCGTTTTGCCAGAGACTGGCTTGACACTCGAGGTTCTCCCAGGGACATCCATGCCCGAATGAGAATGCATAACAACAAAGTTGGACGACAGGTGACATTCACCAGATTTCAGAGGGGGGTATTTTACCTGTTCTAACTTCTTATGTTTGTTCACAGATAGTGATTGACAACATGAATCGAAAATGTAAGTGTCATGGAACATCGGGGAGCTGTCAGTTCAAAACGTGCTGGCATGTGTCACCAGAGTTTCGGCTTGTTGGGTCTGTACTCAAAGAGAAATTTCTCTCAGCCATATTTGTCAACTCTCAGAACAAGAACAATGGTGTTTTTAACCCAAGAGCAGGAAACAGTGCGAGGAGAAGCACTGGAGGATTTAAAGGAGGCCGTCGCCGCATTATGTCCAGAGAGCTGGTGTTCTTTGAGAAGTCTCCAGATTTCTGTGAATATGACCCATCCATAGACTCTCTGGGCACACAAGGTCGTACCTGTAACAAGACCAGCTACAACACTGACAGCTGTAGCTCGCTGTGCTGTGGCCGAGGACACAACATCTTAAAGCAGAGTCGAAATGAACTTTGTAATTGTCGATTTCACTGGTGCTGCTATGTGTTGTGTGATGAGTGTCGTCTCACGGAGTGGGTCAACGTGTGCAAGTAGACAGGACTTGTGATAACTGCATCTGTTCCTCCACTTGTGTAACCCTCCTAGTGGCTGTATATTCCCCAGTTCCTCCCTTCTGCTCATCATCTGGGATCTATTTTCCTTTTAGCCTCTGTTATTCTCAAAATGCCAAGTCAGAGATTGAATAGGTGACTCATGTCCCTTACCTTCCATTTCTGTGTTTAGTCGCTGCTCTGTCTGGCCTGGGAATACCTAATTTCGTAAATGTGTATAGTATCTGTTAATGCACTAATGTATTTATGTAAATCTACATTAACGTTTTGGTTAATCTCGTAGTATCCATGTCTGCTGACAAAGCTGTTTTCACACTGAGATGTGTATATTATATATTTTTAAGAAAAGTGAACATTTGTTTTATTTTTTTACCTGAATATAAGATAGCTATAAACAATTGAAATATTTTACCATGCATTTGTTTTGCACCATTATGATAAAGGCCAGTTTTGGCTAAAATGAAAGCTGATATTGACTACAGTATATATTTTGTATTGGATTTTTAATATTCCAGAGACTTCAAATGCCTCCTGTTCTGTAGCTGTAGGAATTAGGTGTAAGCTCTACTCTGTTTTAGGAGGTGCAAGGCTCTTTATCACCACTTGCAATGCAAATAAAAGAACCTACAAAATACAAAGGTGGCAATGAACAACAAATAATGTATAAAATACATTTGGTTATATTAAAACATAACCAACCAACACAGAAAATAATATGGAATGAATGCACATTTGTAGTTCATTATGTGTCATTGTTTTCCAAATCCTGTGACACTTACTCTCTATTAAAGCCATGCCTCCAAGTAGCAGATTTCTGGTTATAAAAAACGTACTTGGGTTTATTATGCTGTAGATATTTTTCAGATGTCAGCACATGAAGGATTTACTGTACTACTGCAATGTTTTGAGATGATTCACTCCTCAGTGTTATAGACGATGCTTATCTGCAGCAGGACGATCCCATTTTTGTTAGAATGTGAATATGCAGTGTGGCAATAAACTGGTATAAATTAAAACTTGTATGGGTTGCATTTATTCTCTGATTGTGTAATTGTCCTTTTTTTGTTGCAATTTTGGGGAATTTCCAGACATCATTTGAACATAGCTTGTGCATGACAGAATGTTGTAAAACAGTCTTTTGTTAAAGTTGGGGTATCTAAGTTTAAAAAAAAAGAAAATAATCTGATCACAACATGCTGTCTTTATCTAAGCAGTAAACAATCTTTGTGAGAATGAGAGGCCTAGAATACATGCATTTCAAAACCAAACTGTTTTGTGAGTGAGGAACATCATGGATTTTTTTGTACATTATTCATTTATTGCTGTTGAGAGTCCTTTAGTGATATTTTTTCTATTCTTTACAATATACTCCACCTCATGGAGAAGAAATAGACAAGTGCATAGCAATGCAATGGGTGCCTGGAGTAATGACAACCAGACTTGGCTCAAATTAGAGAGAGAGGAAGTTAGGAGAGATAAAAGTGACCCACTATGATTGACAGGATGATTATATGTATAAAGAAAGCGATTTAGTGTGTTTAGTTGGATATGAAGATGTGGAGATATCTGTGCGTACAGCCGGTTTGCAGAACCAAGAGGGCAAACAGGCTATGACTATATGAAGAAGGGGGTGACTAAAGTGTACGCTGTGTAAATACATACCTCAAAAACATCTGCTTCTCCACTCCCCTTTCATTTTTGATGTGGGACAAGAGGAGAGCACAAGGAGCCAGCTACCCAGAACATCAAAGCCCCTGCCCTCAACGTGCAGGCCCTCATTAGTTCAGCTAGCAGAACCAACCAGACTTGTGATTGTGTTTGCTGGGGTGCGCACTGGCAGACACTTCAGAGAAAAAATGGTCCTTTTAGTCATAACTCCCATGCACCCCACCTTTGCATATACCACCACTACACCAAACATCTCTCTCCTTAGTCCCTGCTCAGGCTCTCCCCAACCAGTCACTCCACCCCATAATCTGGTGTGCAGTTGCAAACATCTGCTCTCCCCCCTCTGCCTCCACCACTGAGCTGATAAACACTGACTGACTCACCTATACAAGCTGTGCAAAAACCTTGATTGGTCACAACCCCTTTTCTACACAATAGTTTTGGATACTTTGGAAGGATATTTTAAATGTGTCATGTTGCTTCGTTACACTGACACAATGCTACTCCTCAAAATGATCTTGGCATTATATTACAAGCTGCCAATTACTAATTCATTGGGTTGATTCCTATGTTAATTATTTAAATGCATTACCTACACAATGTGTGTAGTCAGTTAGTTTATTTTTTCTATGTTCATTGGTCAACAACAACTACAAAAAGAACAATTTAACATTGATTTACAATTAGTATATACATGCTATATCTAGTAAAGTATATACTTTATCTAGATCATGTATCATGTGTATACTGTATCTAGGTTTGTTATTGTTACTATTAAATCAGGGCTAAAAACTGTTCTTTTTAGCTGTGCATACGGCTGAAGGATTTTATTGATACATACTCTTTTTTTTTAATGCATTGTGGTTATTTATTATTTTAATCCCGTGTGTGCTTTTAATATTTTAAGTTTTTTTTTTTTTTTTTTTCATTACTTGTGATTTTATTCTGTTTTTAATGTATTTATTGATGTCTCTGATTTGTGTGATATTATGTGGGTTGTGAGGCGCTTTGAGTGGCCTTGTGTTGGAAAGGCGCCATACAAATAAAGTTGGTGGTTGGTATTTTTTACTACTATTTGTGAATTCAACTTTAACCTGTTATGGCATCATCCAAAGTATTCCAAAGATGTACAGTTTTATGTTATTGTGTATAGAACTTTTATTAGAGCAGGCATGTTGCTAGTATAATGATTGGTGATGACACTAGATTTAATTTGTGACATGGGGGGGGTTAAATATAGATTACTCCATAAAATAGTTAATAGTAATTAAGATAATAAATAGTAAGATAATGATATTTCAAAATTACTTGCCAATAACCACAAACCCGCGCAAGAATACATCAATAAATGCATATTGATGAAACGTTAGGTTGGCTCTCGCGAGACTGTTGCGTTGAAGTCCTACAGTAATGGCAGTAATACTGCCTTATCTCGCGAGAACAGTGTCGCGTCCTTTCCCTGAATCCGCAGCTGGTGGCCTGTCTGCCTGATCGTGGAGGGGTAAGTCCATGAGATGTAAACAGTGACAATTCTGATGAACGCTTTTAGATGTCCTCTAGACGACCACGGAGGGATATCTGTTGGTGTTTGTCTTAGATGAAGCCGTAATGTCATTTAAAAGGCCTTGATTCGACGACATTAGGCCAAGCGGTGTCGTGACTGCATAAGGGATTATAACGCACATATTCACATGGAGAAACGCTTGAATACCACCCAGGGATGTAGCGGTGCGTTTGGCGTCTATGGGGCGTTCTGCACAGTATTACTGCACCGCCATTTGCGCGTTCAGCGGCTGCTTCTTCTTCCTTCTAGCGCAAGAGCCTCTCGCATTATGACAGATGCATGAATGTCCTGCCTCTGCAGCTGTACCAGGCTCTGCTCCTCATCACTGGAGCTGTGCTATAGCACTGATCCTGCAGCTTGTGGATACGGATAGAGGTGTCACCTGCCCAGCTTTCTACTCTGTGAATATGCGACGTGACTTGCATCATATTGTTTTGGTTTGATAATCATATTGTCTTCTGATCCATGATTGATGCTCATATAACATCAAGTAATGTATAACTGTGATGTATAGCTAATTACATATACATGTGTAAACATTATATAGATGTTTAATTTTGTCCTTAGACAAGACACTTAACCCACATTGCGTAGTATTAGTCTGGTGTGTGTGAATGGTTGGAGGTGGCACACATTAGTTGCCTTAGTCTGTGTGGCTTCTGTTGTAGCTCATCACAACAGTGTATGGAGTGAAATAATAACATCATTCAACACTCAAAAATCGTAGAATCCTATGTAAAAAATAAATAAAATACTGTTCAAAACTAATGAATTATGATTATTATTGTTGTTGTTGAATAACTTTTTCATGTATATCAGTGCCGAAACTTGGAATCAACCGTCATCATGGGGAACATCTTTGGAAACCTGTTAAAGAGTCTTATCGGGAAAAAAGAGATGAGGATTCTTATGGTCGGGCTGGATGCCGCTGGAAAAACAACTATTCTCTACAAGTTAAAGCTTGGAGAAATTGTAACAACAATCCCTACAATTGGTGAGATGAATATTACCACGGATGATGTTGTACTTTAAGAAATTTGTCTTTAACATTGTTTTGCATAGGTTTCAATGTTGAGACTGTGGAGTACAAAAACATTAGCTTTACTGTGTGGGACGTGGGTGGCCAGGACAAAATTCGTCCCCTATGGAGGCACTACTTCCAGAACACACAAGGTAAGCCATCATAAACTTTCATCATGCTCTTGGTGTGGGTCATGTTGGGCAGTTTGAAGTTGGGCTCTACTTCAAACTGCAGCACGCTCTCACTTCTTTCACCTGAGGCCTGATCTGACTAATGCTGCTCATGACGTCTTTTGCATTCAGCCTCCAGTTGCAAAAAGATAAACCTATTTTTGGTTATGGTAACAAACCTTATCAAACATGAATATTTAAGCATGGCCAAGTGACATATACATGCTAGATAGATAATGCCAATCTAATCTACAAAATATCCATTTCTGTTATTTAATTCCTAAGAGAAGACCCAGGGCACGTTGGAGGGACTGTCAGTTTAAAGGAAAACCAGATCACCTGTACTATTTAATTTTATTGAACAATTGTTATATATATATAATTTGGAGTAACTGGATCGAACTATTTGTACTGCATATTTGCTTGCTGGTAGCCACATAAAGCGCATACATTTAAATGCGCTATTTAGACACGGGCAGCCAATGCATTTAAGAGCACAGGAAAAAGCCAAGTATATATTAGAAATGTACAGTTTCTCAACACATGCCCTGAAGAAGGCCCTACGTGGCCAAAACACATTGCAAATAATCCCTGTTCATTAAAGAATTTTTATTTTATTGTCAAGAGTGCCTCACACTTCTCTCCTCTCTTCATAAGTTTCCAGTGTTTTTACCACTGCGATCCTGATGAGCACCTGACAAAGTTAGACCCACTGCAGCCCTCATCTCTCTTGAACACGTCTTTTATTGTTTTGTTTTTGTTTAGCAAAAAAAATCAGGAATCATGATCCATTTGTTGGCGCTGTGGAAATTAGATTTGTACTTGATGAGATTAAAGAATATCCTGGCCAAGAAGAATCGTCAAACCAATTAATTCAGTTTAATTTCAAATTGTGTGTGCAGGTCTGATTTTTGTGGTGGACAGTAATGACCGTGAGCGAGTGAATGAAGCCCGGGAGGAGCTGATGAGAATGCTGGCAGAGGATGAGCTGCGAGATGCTGTTCTGCTCGTCTTTGCCAACAAACAGGTACAAGACTTCAACGTGTCCTTCAGCTGTTATGTAACCACTGCTTCCTGCATTTCAAAAAACTCCTTTACATTTCTGTGCAGGATTTGCCAAATGCCATGAATGCAGCAGAGATCACAGACAAGCTTGGCCTCCACTCGCTACGTCACCGCAATTGGTACATCCAAGCCACGTGTGCCACCAGCGGGGATGGTCTGTATGAGGGCCTGGACTGGCTCGCCAACCAGCTCAAGAACAAGAAATGAGGTGTCTGTTCATGAGGGGAAGAGCCCGGTGCCAGCTCCAGGTAGAAACTAAAGTATATTGGGACTGTCTACATGTAGAGACAGGGCAGTTCCCAGAGGTGATTTCTCCTTGAACACATAATGTTATATGTCTATTATTCCTTTCCTTATTTATTTAAGTCAAAAATTATGTTTGATTTACATTTAAAGTGCAAACTACGTTTATACTGCATAGTATGAAATATGTGTTTTTAACATGTTATTGTTTATTACATTGATTCCATTATCTTTTCTGATTTTGGTTTATATTGACATTTTATCATGAAGAATGTGAAAATTATATAGTGGCATTACAACTAGACCAGAGAACAATATACACATAATCATAATAATGTGCATAACAGTGCTTTACTGTAATCCTTCCTTCTCATAATGATCCTGTTTGCGTAGGATTTGTAAATGCTTTTATAATCTTCACGCAGTCTTTGAGTTATTTTGGTGCAATTTATTTTGTAAATGTTTATTTATGGACCATTTACCTCACCACATGTTTTCTCTTGTGCGTTCAATGCTAAGGCAGATGTTGAAAACAGTCTATATTACTGCTTCCCCAATCTGCATGGAGATTCTTGTTTGACTCATGACCTTTAGGGGCTGTGAAGCTTGTTCAGCATCAGTATAGACCATGTGTATGAGAGATAGTATGATGGCTGAAGTGAGACGTGTGTACACCATCCCACTGGGTCAAAAACTGCTTTGGGCCGGTCTTGTAGACAGCGATGCCGCGGAGTTTATGATTGGCAATATGAGAACGCTTATCAAGTTTTGAATGTTTGTTGTATTCATTTTTGGAGAGAAGCAGCATTTTGCATTTAAGGTGTTTTTGACGCTAATTTATCCATCTGCGATTTGACTCATTTGTCTCTTGCTGTGCTCTAACTCATGTGGTACAAAATAACTGCATTACATTAGTACAATTTGTATTTCAATCTAAATCTAAAAAATTTTTATTATTTGTAATCTATCCAATGTTGTAATAAATTGTAATCTAACAATATTTAACAGTGTTTATCAACCAGAATTGAGGTGTGGATTTGCTTTTATCCATAAGGTCCTACTCTGTACTGACACAAACGTTACTATAAGATACAAAAATAACCTGTGATCATAAAAAAAGTATAAGGCATGTTAATACTGCGCAAAATATCTGTAATAAATTATTTATTATTTCTCAGACTGTAGTCTAAATATCTGCTGCTGGTTGGAACACTGCTAAACGGATAAATGTGATGAATTAGTGTAAAGTTTACTGAACCTCTAATATGCAAAAGCATGCTTTTCTATGTCAGCTCCTATGTACATAAGTCCATATAACGACTAAACGACTGGTTCATGACAGTGGTGTTCACATTGAGATAATCGTGTCTGACAGGCAGCTTGTGTGTGTGTTGTGTTCTCTATTTCAGTTTGTGCACATGGTTTTGTGGCCTTATATTGTTGATTTTATCCAACTTTATGTTTGTCTGTGGTATGTCTAACATCAATAACCCAGCTACCAAAGTCCTGATGACATTCTGTAGTTGTGGCTAAATATTGTTTTCCTTGAAGTTTGCAGATTTTGAAATAGTAGAAATGTAACTATGTAACATTCTAAGTTGTATGTTACGACTGGTTAAATTTAACTCATGAAAATAAAGAGCAAATATGAACAATAATGTGTCCTTTCTGGACTTGCTTACTGTGTGACTTATCATTTGTAAAAATGTATGTAAATATTTTGTTCCCTCTTCCCTGGGGACGGATGTACATGTCTTTCTCCCAGTGCTGTTATCAAGACCTTTTGGCACAGTCAGGTACTTTTTCTGTTGAATTACACAGTCGGTTTGGCCTTGTGGGAGCCAATCGCTGGTCCCTGCTTGGGTGAGTGCTGCTGTGTATTCAGGGGTGTGACAGCAGTATGTGGGTAAGTGCTGCCTTTAGGGCCACCGGCCCCCAGGGCACCCTGCAGGGAAGCCACAATGGTAGCCCCAGGCCAGATGCCATAGCTGGGATTCCCACCCGTAACCGGGACACCTTGGTCCAGGGCACAGACACACTGGCAGCAGCACCACAATCAATTCATCAATCTCTGTGAGATGGCAACTGCAAAAGGCCACCACAGTCACCTCCGCAGTGGGAGCTGGACGGGACATGGCCTGGCCACCAGGGATGATACTGGTGCTGACACTACTGAGCTTTTGAAAAATTGCCAATTTTACAGAAAGCACCGAGTCTGATCCAACAAACAAACACTCTTTTCATAAAGTAGGAAAAATTAATGATGGACTTAACACTTTAACAAGTCGTAAAATGAACAGTGGCTTTATTCTACAGCGTGACTAAATGTAAATTCAATTCAGTGCGTTTAGATAATATCACAATCCAATAATTGATGATAAATTGTGTTCATTTTATGGAAGAAAGAAACCCATTAATAATGTGAATACAGTTATGAATGGGGTCCCTTGAGCCAGTTCCAGTACGACGTCCATGAAAAACCTGAGACACTGCCTCCTCCTGCTGGACAAAGAAATGTGAACAATTCAAGTTCTCGTCTTCAGAATGACTTCCTCTGCTGTTAGCGCACAGCAACATGGGTATTTCAGGCTAAAAGATGAAAATCAGCTATATATAAATGTATCATTGGGAGATGAAGCATACACTTCAGTTTAATCAAGCTATATACACACTTTTGGGAATTTAAGTCAAACATTTATTCATATCCACAAGGTATTGCACATTTAATCTTTTAATTATTTTAAAAAAAGAGAAAAAAGTTAAAACATAAAGCTTTCCCACAGTTCAGTGAGCTATCAGCTGGTCAGTGTTGGTGTTTTTAACTAAATCAGACCTAACCCTGGTCCTGTGGTCTGAACCAGGTCTAAACCAGACTGAGCCCTGGTTCTGTGGTCTGGTTTTATCCTGATCTAGAGCAAAGTTGTTGATTTACACAAATACAACATTCTTCAGAGATGGAAAGCAAACCTGAACGTACCCTAAACTTAAACCATACCGACTTCTAGTAATGACCCTCAGGTGATGATCATTATAGAATAATGAAAAATGGTTTTTAATGTTTATGCTTGGCATTTACATTACAAATCTCAACGTGTTTATGAGGGCTTCAGTGGCTCAAAGTGAAAATAGGAGTGAAGAACGACCCTGTTTCATGTAGAAGAATCTTTAGCCTCAGAAGCCAAATTAAGCATGTTCTTGTTTTGGGTTCAGAAGTCACCCAAGAGTCTGACAATGTTCTTATTGTAGCCGTCTGCTCCATAGGCATCAAAGAGGTGATTAACCAGTTGACGGGGCTGTGTGGACAATATGCTCTTTGGACCGGGAACAGTGAAGATACTCACAGCAGATGGCTCTGCTGCACAGCGTCTAGCAGCAGCTTACTGCGCCAACCAAAAATATACCAGCACATAAAGGCATATGATTGTGTTGGCCTTTCCTAAAGAGCACCTTACAGATTCAAACCCTCACTTACACTTTGTTTTTGAGATGTTGTTTTCTTTTTTTAAATTGAAACCACAATGTAGCACATTTCACACAAGAACACCAGGAGAGTTTGAACAAATTAGTCTTTAGTTAACTTTTATAAGAGATCAACATTTGATGTCATTAGGCAGATATACTGTATTCCATTTACACAGAGCATATTGATAGAAAGAAGGAACTAAGACTCCGTAAGGGTTCATAAGTCAATCAGAATATATAATTTTTGGATAATATCCCAAGATTTACAAAGAAACATAGGGATTTTTAAAAAATCAATCCAGACCCTATAAATATCTTTTAACAGGAGTAATGTGACTATTGTTGGATTGACTAAAGAGGAAGACCTGAGAAGTGAGTGTTGTATATTTGTAATATTTATTATAAATATAAATTTTTATACACAGCTGTGGTAACATTAGGGGCACATTAGGTTAGAGTGGTTGGGTCTTTTTTCCACCAGATAAAAGAAAAATGTGCCCCTTTAAATGCATTAAAAAGTCCTATGTACCCACATTTGAACTGGATTAGTTGTATATTGAGTTGTTTACAACCTCCTGCATAAGAAGGCAAGCGTCTGCAGAAAATAATGTGGGGAAAAAGACGGACGATGATCTGATTGGTTACCGCTGGCAGTAATCAACCAATCACGTCCCACTCTCTGGGAGGGAAACTCCAGCACCAACATTTAGAGCTACTTGTTCCCTTTCCCTTGACTTTGTTTTGGAGCATTTATATCAGTGGAATGGTGGTCTCAAAGTGCATGAATATGTTGGATACATCTTTGTAACAGAAGAATCTGTCTCATGATGCTTTGCTGGGCGTCAACAGCCTTTGTGACACTTCTTGCCGTCTTCACTTCAACTACGCCCCTGTCTCATGAAGGTAAGATAGATATTTTTAAAAAGCTGTCGTCCGTGATAATAGACTTCATGAAAGAATTAATCCTGGCATTTCATTTAATTGCGTTTAGTTTATTTTGTAACATGTGTGCTTCCTTGAGCAGTCATACAACAAAACACAAATACATTCACATTCCCAAAAGGCAGTAGGTAGAAGCCAACTGGCCAACTAACTAACTAGACTAACGATCTGCTTTGCCAGATGTCAGATCACACAATGATATTTTGGTCCATGTTTCATAAATAAGCTATTATCAAATAAAACATAAAAACACAATGCAATACCGTAACAATGCAAGACTTCAGTAGACCGTAAATACAGCCTATATATATATATATATATATATATATATATATATATATATATATATATATATATATATATATATATATATATATAATATATATATATATATATATATATATATATATATATATATATATATATATATATAAATAATATAATTTGAAAACTATTTTGTTTTTATGTATTTATTTTTGAATGAGCTTCTAGCATAAGTTATAAGCTATAATCTTCACCACATAAATAATTTGGTCATAACCTTAACTCAAATGTATGTATGTTGCTGATCCAGGTGCAGACTCTAACAGGCTCGCAAGCACTTTGGTCTGAGAACAAGCTGGTGTGCATGTGTTTTTGTCTCACTGGGTTTCTCTTCCTGCTAGTGTGCGCCCTCCACACTCGGCTCATTGTCCAGTGGAATGATCTCAGAGACGCAGAGCTTTTGGACATGCTCACTGGACACTGGGGCTCTGTCTGTCACCGCATCACTCATTGCCCCCTCTGACACACTGTCCACATTTAGAGCTTTACCACAATGTACAGCGTTGTGTGACGAAGTTCTGCTGCCTCAGGCCAGAACCAGAGCAAGACTGAAGACGACCCAATGCACTCACTTTCCCCATCTAAGACAGTGACACTTGTTGACAACCTTTCAACTTACCAAGTGTTATTTTACTGGCTCATAGTTTAATATTGTTATTATGCTTTTCAGAAAATATATGGGCATGTCAAAAGGCAATATGTGTCTTATTCTTATAGCCACAGTACACTTTTTTGACTCATAGACTCATACTTGGTCTTGGTTTTAGGGTCTCATCCTGTTTTTCCTTGGAAATATGTCTCCTTTTGCTGTAATATTTCACACAAAAGCCTAGATTCTTTCTAGCTCCATTGAGATCATTCTAAGCAGCAGATCTGTACATGAACTCCTGAGACTTGGCTTTCCACAAACATTTACATACATTTGTCTTATGTAATTTTCCTGTTTGTACTTAGCTGTAGCTACTATAGCTGTAGTTGTAGCTGTTTTTCAGATTAGTAGCCCTTCATCTCTCTCAGGGCTCCACCTTTTTCCTATTTCACCGGTCAAATTTCTGAAATAAATGCATTCCATTTGAGTTGGGACAATGCACATTCATTAACATTGATGCCTTAAGTGTCAGTGTAAATGCGCCGGACTTAGCATAACTGCTCAATTTCAGCCGTATAGTCCCAAATAAATAAAGGTGCCTTAATGGTTATCTTTGTATTTCATTCTGGTGATGTGCCAGCTCCATAAAGTGGCACAGTATCACTATAATTTCCCTAGGACGGCAAAGTAGTGAAAATGCAGTCGACGGTAAGATCTTTTCACTAAAATGTATCAGAAATGAACAGCGTGTATAGTTAAATATACAATTTTATATGTAATTTATTATCCAATATTTGTTTTAAAGGTGTTTGTCCTGGGACTCAGAATGGACTGAGCTCCACTGGCTCTCAGGAGAACCAGTACAACCTCATCAGAGATCGATACGATGGTTGTGAGATCATCATGGGAAATCTGGAAATCACTCAGATTGAAAGCAACTGGGACTTCTCCTTTCTCAAAGTAAAATATCAACTGAAATGATGTGTATTTTGGATACTTTAGTGCTTAAGTACAATCGCTCTATTTTCTTTCTTTTAGACTATTCGTGAAGTCACTGGCTACGTCCTTATCGCTATGAACCACTTTCAAGACATTCCCTTGGGGCAGCTTCGAGTGATCAGAGGAAACAACTTGTATGAAAGGCGATTTGCCCTCTCGGTCCTTTTTAACTATCCCAAAGATGGCTTCAATGGCCTCAGACAACTGGGCTTGCCAAATCTTACTGGTACAACGTTCTTTTGTATAATTTCTTTCATTTCACTTATGGTGTTTATTAGATGAAATTTGTTGTAGTCTGTAGTGAAATGCAGGTACTTTGCAGATCCATTGCTGTCACTGAAGTTGATGATAGTATTTTTTTTTTTTACAGAGATACTGGAGGGAGGAGTTCAAATTATAAATAACAAATATTTGAGTTATGGTCCGTGGATTTATTGGCAAGATATAATCAGAGACAACAGTGCTCCAATAGAGATTCAGTACAATGGAGAGAAAGGTTTGTTTTTGAAAAGCTTCTTTAGCTTTATGTGATCCTATCCTGCTTCAGTAAATTGTGCTCATTCTAGGTCCCTGTCACAGTTCCTGCGGCGACTACTGCTGGGGTCCAAATGAAAGCCAGTGTCAAACATGTGAGAACATATTTCCTATGCCTTTCATGGTAACAAAGTTTGAACCTTGAACGGATGATACAGTGGTAATAAAACACTGAACAATAGTACCGAAGCAGATGTACAACATGCACAGTATCAAGAAAATGTATGGCCTGCAAGAAATAAAATAATAATATCAGTTTTATCATTAAGACATTTATTGAATTAATAAAACTATAGGCCAACTCTGGCATACACTCATGCTGTCCAGAAGCTGACAGGTCTAATTCCTGGTCTGCGGGTTTCTGTATGGAGTTTGTTACTGATTCTGGTTGGACTTTCTCTGGTTTCCCCATCACCCAAAACATGCACCATAAATTTCACAATAAATGTAGTCTATGTAGATGGTTCAGTCGCAGAAGAATCCCCACACAATAATGGTTAAACTAATTTGTATTACCACCAAAATAACAATAATATTGCAATGAATATATAGTTATTCGTTGAACAGAAACTCATAATTATTGTCACAAGCTTAATATTTGCCATTAAACATGCATGTTTAGTACCCATGACCCTGTTGACCTGACCCCTTTGCTCTCTCTTTCTTCTGTCAGTGACAAAGACAGTGTGTGCTCCTCAGTGTAACGGCCGCTGCTTTGGGACCAGTCCACGAGACTGCTGCCACAGTGAGTGTGCAGCAGGCTGCAATGGCCCTCTAGACATCGACTGCTTTGTGAGAACCTTTTCATGCAGTTACATCTATCCAAGTGCTACATATACAATCATGCTGTCCTTTCTCTACTGTTGTATACTAATTGAATATAATTTTGTTCTTAAAAGGCTTGTCGTCATTTTAATGACTCTGGGTCTTGCGTACGTCAGTGCCCTCAGAATCTAATCTATAACAAGCAAATGTTTCAAATGGAAACCAATCCCAATGCCAAGTATCAGTATGGCTCCATTTGTGTTTCTCAATGTCCCAGTGAGTTACACATGTGTAAACAAATTTAAATCTGTTTGTTTTCAATTGTTTTAATTCATATGTTTATGTAGCTAATTTTGTGGTGGATGGAAGCTCCTGTGTGAGTGTCTGTCCTCCAGACAAGATTGAGGTGGAGAGAGAAGGCAAGAGACAGTGTGAGCTCTGCAGTGGACTCTGTCCCAAAGGTCAGACCAAAATACTTGAGTCTGTTTTACATCTGTATTGCATGTACTAATGTTGTGTTTTGTCATGTAGTGTGTGAAGGCACTGGTGCAGAACACAGACAGACTGTGGACTCCAGTAACATCGACAGCTTCATCAACTGCACTAAGATCCAGGGCAGCCTGCATTTCCTTGTCACAGGGATTCTGGGGTAGTTGTTCTTTATGCATTATTATTTGGGGCCACTTTCATATGTCAAAATCATGTTTATAGTAATTATATTTAGGGATGACTTTAAAAAGATCCCACCTCTAGATGCTAAAAAGCTGGAAATATTTAAAACAATCAGAGAAATCACAGGTGAGCTTATGCATATGAAAACGCATCTTAAATCATACGCTGTTTTAATTTTGTTTACTTAACTTTAATTATTTTATTACTTATGTTTTTCAGACATCCTGAATATTCAGTCTTGGCCAAAAGAACTCAGTGATTTGTCTGTGTTTTCAAGTCTTAAAACCATAAAAGGAAGATCCCTCTTTAAGTAAGACATGTTTTGCATCTTGTATATTTTGCATTCTTACAATACATGTTGCATTTTTATCGTTTTAATTCTATCATGTGCATATCGTCTTTCTATTTTCAAGACAATACAAACTTATACCTAACACGTGTCTAAATGCTGCAGACGTTTCTCTCTGATGGTGATGCGGATCCCCTCCCTCACGTCCCTGGGCCTGCGCTCGCTGACAGAGATCAGTGATGGCAGCGTGTACATCAGCCAAAACAAAAACCTGTGTTTCCACAACAGCGTGAACTGGACCCAGCTGTTCAGAGGAAGTCGAGTGAGAGTCAACAACATCAACAGTAACAAACCTTGGGAAACTTGTGGTGAGGCATTGAGTACATCTGTTCTCATTCACTCACCTCGCATAGCTTTAATGAAGCGTGTTTCTGCAGTGGAAGAAGGCCACGTATGTGATCCTCTGTGTTCAGACTCTGGGTGCTGGGGCCCAGGGCCAGACCAGTGTCTGTCCTGCAGAAACTACAGTCGAGATGGCACCTGTGTGAACAGCTGTAACTTCCACAGAGGGTTTGTTATTATGCTGATGATGTCATTATCTCTGTCCACGTGAGGCTCATCTCTGACACTGTGCATAGGGTGCCCAGGGAGTTTGCAAACCACCATGGAAATTGTGTGCCTTGTCATGCAGAGTGCAGACCACAGTATGGAAAGGCCAGCTGCACAGGGCCCGTAAGCATTGTTTTGAAACTAAATACTATAAAAAAATTACTCTTATATACACAACATATGTCTGTTGTAGGGTGCTGACGAGTGTGTAGCCTGTATTAACTTTAGGGATGGCCCATTCTGCATGTCCTCATGTCCTGCTGGGGTAAATGATGGCCAGAAGGGACTCATTTTTAAATATCCAAACAGAGCAGGTCATTGTGAATCATGTCACCTAAACTGCACACAAGGGTATATCTACACTTACATTAATATACTGTATGTGGATTTGGCAATGAGGCTAATGCTGTTGTCTTTTAGATGTTCAGGTCCTGGACTCTCCTACTGTTTAGAAAATGGACTTGCAATTAGTAGGTAATGGCTCCCTCTATTGGAATTCACAAATATTGAAACAACGACACAATTCTCAACATTTGGATTTCTGTACACCACCTCAATGGATTTTTAATGATAAGCTTTAATTTTGCTTCCACACTGTATTTGAAGTTGTCACTTGAATTTGCAGTCAAAGAATCTGCAGTTAATCCACGTCTACCAGTCGTGAGATTCATTTCAAATATTGGTGTGGTGGTGTACATGGTCGAAGAACTGTGTCAATGTCCCAATATTTTTAGACCTGACTGTATTTGTGCTTTCTCTGCAGTGGGCAGATCACTGGCATAGTTCTCGGTGTCCCAGCGGGTCTGATTTTCTGTCTGGTTGTGTTTTTCCTGGGCCTTCTGTACCAGAGAGGCCTCGCCATCCGCCGCAAGAGAGCAATGAGGAGGTATTTAGAAAGTGGAGAGGTCAGTAATAATTTAAATAATATAAAATAGGTTTGAGTACAAACAAAATGCATTATATCTTAACATTTATTGAAACGTTTCAGAGTTTTGAGCCACTGGGTCCTGGAGAGAAAGGGACCAAGGTTAAAGCTCGAATTCTGCGTCCTTCAGACTTGAGAAAAATCAAGCCAATTGGTTCAGGAGTATTTGGCACTGTGCACAAGGTAAACCTTGGCGTGTACATTGACTATTTATTTTATTGTTATGATTACTGAATTAATAGCATTACTGTATTTTGATATTTTAATCCATGAAGACAAAATACTAACATGGGACAGTATTTTGATATACTAACAAATGGAATTATGGATTTTGGCCATTTCAAGGAAATGTATCACTAATATGATTTATCAAGTCTACTAACACTGTAAAAGATACTTTCAGGGCTATTGGACTCCAGCAGGGGAAACCGTTAAAATCCCTGTCGCCATTAAGACTATTCACGACAGCACAGGGCGTCAAAGTTTCACTGAAATAACAGACGTAAGTAAACAATGTTAATCTTATGTTATTCTGTGCCCTTGATGCTGTGTTGGGATGGCTAACATTCTTTCTCCTTCTCTTTATTAAGCACATGTTGTCAATGGGAAGCCTGGACCACCCGTATGTCATCAGACTGCTGGGCATTTGTCCAGGGGTGAGCCTTCAGCTGGTGACTCAGTTCAGCTCTCGAGGATCTCTGCTGCAGTACATCAGGAACAACAAGCACAGGCTGGACCCACAGCGCCTGCTTAACTGGTGTGTGCAGATCGCCAAGGTGAGACAACAACTTCATTCAAAAGTGTACTTCTATTTACTATTGTCAGTATAGTTTCATTCTGCTGTTATTCAAATTTGCAGTCCAAGCTAACACAGTATAAATATGGTTCTCTTTCAGGGCATGTATTATCTTGAAGAGCACTGCATGATCCACAGAAACCTTGCAACACGTAATGTCCTGCTGAAGAGTGACTACCAGGTTCAGATCTCTGACTATGGGGTTGCAGACCTCCTTTATCCAGATGACAAGAAATACAACACCAAGGTTACTACATTTTTCACTCAACATCTAATTTTTGTATGTAAAGAAATGCTCCAAAACTGATTAAAACGTTTTAAATCTGTGCTTTATCCCAGACTCCTATTAAATGGATGGCACTTGAAAGCATCTTATTCCGGAGATACAGTCACCAAAGCGATGTCTGGAGTTATGGTGAGTGCTGAGTTTGTGACACATGTGATGGCGGAATATTTGCTAAGTTGCATTTTCAACAGGCGTGACAGTGTGGGAGATGATGTCATTTGGAGCGGAGCCATACACCTTTGTGCCACCTCAGGAAGTGCCAGGCCTGTTGGAGAAAGGGGAGCGCCTATCGCAGCCACAGATATGCACAATAGACGTCTACATGGTCATGGTTAAATGTGGGTGCAGACATTCTTTAGATGTTATTATGACACATTCATATTATACAGTTGAGCATGAAAGTTTAGACACCCAGCAATAGATTACATTTTTGGCCATGTTTGGGAGATTTTCCCTTTAAAGACTTCTTCAACCATTTGGTGAATCACTTTTTGAGTCACTATACCTACTTAAAGCAAGCTTGGAACTGATATGTACCTATTTGGGGAATCTCTATCACTCGGTTTTAGGCACTTTACCATCAAACTGCATCTCAAACTTTTGAACGAAGGGATGAAAATATACATAAAAACTAATTGTGTTATTAATGCTCCTACAAGAATGCTCCTAAAAGAAGAAAATACATTACTTTGTACTTTGGAGTGATCATTAAATGGTTATGAATGACAAGACAACCTTTTACACTCCTCGTTAGTGTTTGTGTGGAGCCATATATTGTCAAGTAAATGTATTGTATTTTAGAATTATAAGCCTAGTTCATGGTAGAGCATTGGCCTTTGGGCCTGAAGGTTGTGGGTTCGAGCCCACCATAAGATCTACTTCACGACTCCCACTGATGACTACTGTCGTTGTGTCCTTGGGCAAGACACTTAACCCCACTTTGCCTGAAGCTCCCACTGAAAGATCTCAGCTCCTGTGGACTCACCACCTGCAGGAGGATCAGTGAGGGGCTGGTGCTAAGTGTACTGGGTGCAGCTCTGACTGCCACCCCCCCGACCCAGAAATGGATTAAGGGGAAGAAAATGGATGGATGGATGGGTGGAAGCCTAGTTCAGAGGCAGTCCAGGATTTAATATTTACTGTCTATGGTCCAGGATTGTACAGGAGCTGGAGGATTTTTTGCCCAGAAGAATGGGTATAGAGAGGATAGAGAAACTCATTCATAACTACTACAAAAGACTTCGAGTTTTCATAGGTGTTAAAGGGGAAATACATACTGATGAGAAGTGGGGGATGGAGACTTCTGATCAGGGTCATTTGACAGGTTTCTTTTGTCATTAGAATTTGAATATGTAAAACATGTGTATGTGATAATACATTCACACAACCACTAACCATTAGTGAATGCGTTATCATTCCTAATCTTTGAAATATGGCTAGAATTAACATCTGGGTGTGTAAACTTTCAAGTACAACTGTATTTCATATTATATCATATTTTTCAACTATTTCTAACATTTTCAGGCTGGATGATTGATGAAAACATTCGTCCCACTTTCAAAGAGCTCGTAAGCGACTTCACACGAATGGCAAGGGACCCATCCAGATATCTTGTTATTAAGGTGGACTAACATGGTACAGAAATAGGCCAAAGAACATATCCATCCAGTCCTAACTTATTGTGTTGCAGTTGGAAAGCCCTGATATTTCTGCAGAGGAGATCCATCCCACAGATCTAGAACGCGGGCGGATGGATACAGATTTTCATGATGAAGATGTGGATGCATTGGAAGAGGGGTTGTCCACACCTCCCTTATGTCATTCTCCCTCCTGGAATCGTTATCGGTCCAGGCTAAACTCCAATAGGGTAAGATAAGTAACTGGTGCATTTTGATATGCACATGCTTCATTAAGCTTTGAGATTTTGGTGTTTTTTTCTATAGAGTGACATTTCCCAGACTGGACCCATTGGATATTTGCCTATGACTGCTGGTCCTATAGACAGTATCAGACAGGTACAACCACAGAAACCAAACTAAACTGAAGTCAATCATTCTTACTCTTTTTCTGTCTGCCAGCTCTGGAGCCAAAGACCACGCCTCAGCTCAGTGCAAACACTACCTGGACGTTCAGAGGCTATGGAGCATACTTCAGAAACAGAAGTATTTGAGCAAAACTTGTTGGCAAGTGGCTTCTTTGCATCTAGGTTTGGGTATGAGACGGGCAATACCTTCAAACCCAAAAGTCAACATAGAAAATTGTCCACTGCGTCAAGTCCATGTTCATTTCAAGTGTGGACACCAGACGCAGGAGAGGAGATTGATCACTATGGTTATGTTCTGCCGGGATCAACAAACCAAGTTGAAAAAGGTGAGGCCTTTAAGCTAAAAAATATGAAAAATACATAAATAAGAAAATGGTTAGGAAGCACAGTTTCATTGCATTTTTATCATGCAATTCACGGAAACAAAGTGGTAAGCGCAACCTTCCAGCCCAGGTTAAAACATTGAAATTAATTTAGCTTCATGGTATACTACATATTGGAAACATTTTGGCATTTAATCTATATATTCTGTTTAGATCGTTAGTGATGCAAGTTTGGGTTTTAATGTGTTTTTTTTCCTCAGTTCGCAGAAGTTCTCACCACACAAAGAAAAATCCAAAATATTTCATGAAAAATGTATCTCCTTTGGTTATAAGGCAACCCCAAGAGTATGAAATCATGGGCAAAAAGACAAGTGCTCGGGTCTTTTCAGCCAAGATTGATGCTCCTTTTGCAGCGTTTGGATATAAAATGACAACTTTACCATCTCCGACATCTATTGCACCCTTACTTTTAGAGGACATCACCAGTTTTCTGGAGACTCCAGTCAACTCTGTAACAAACAAAACTGTAGATGAGGATTGCATAGGGGCTACAGCAGAACCAGAGGTCACTCTAGAGCTTTATGGTAATACTGGGATTGGAGATGAACAGGAAAGGGCAGTCCACCGAATGGATACATATGAGTATCTAGATATAAGAGGCTCTAACTCACTGGAAGAAAATGAGACCGTTCTAAAGAACAGAGACAGTGACATGTCTTTGACCGAAGCTGCAGAAATGGAAATGAAAATCCAGGCATTACAAACCCCTGTATGGAATACTGCTAAAACCAAACTAGACAATCCCACTTCTGAGGGAGAAATAATAGAAGAGGAGTATGAGAAGATGAGCAGAGTCACCAGTGGACCCATCGAGTGGGAACAGCCCATGTACCAGAACCTGCCGGAGAAAGACAAGGCCGAGTCTGAGGAGCTGGAGGCAAACAGGGGTGCTGGGTTAGGGGGATACATCAAGGTGTGTGCAGCCATGGTGCCTGAGAGTAACTCCTCCTTTGATAACCCAGATTACTGGCACAGCAGACTGTTCCTGAAGACAGATGCTCTACGCATCTAATACTGTGTGCTGGCAGAGCAACACAGAACAGTAACTCATGAACTTTATCTTGGGTTTGTTGTTACTTGTGTACCATTTTACTTACCTTGCTGGCATGTTTGTAAATATTGAGACCATCAGTTGTTTTTTATTCACATTCGTAACTTTGTAACTTTAACATTACTTAATAAACATTCAAATATGTGAGCGTATTACATTGTACTCATTTAATTACATTCAGACAAGAGAAAGCACTTGGGAATATGTAGCATAATTGATGAGTTCCATACCAAACATGTGATTGACTGATACTCATGGATTGAATAGAGAAACATTGGTAAATATGCTCTCGACGTCTCATATTGGGCTACACAGAAGATTTTACGGAAAAGTAAAAAGTAAAACAACCTTTAATGGTAAAGAAGTCTTCAAGAGTTTGTCCTATAGGCTGAGGCTGCTGTCCCATAGCGAAGAGCACTCTAGGAGGTTTTATTGTGGCGTGAGTGTAAATTATGTAAATGACATTAGAGACTGCATGTCCCTTTCTCCAGCAGCGCGGCACAGCGTCATCTTGACTGAAGTGCGTGTCTTTGGCAGTGGGCGGGCCCGTTCGCAGGCAGCCGCAGTATCGCGCTACAGCAGCGTGGTCTTTCTTTTGACTGCTTGACATCCACGGAGGGAAAAGTTTCCTGGAGTTTGCGAAAACACTGCCATCATGTCTGGGGATGAGGACACCGCTGAGCCAACCATTGCTGAAGATGTGGTGGTGACCAAGTACAAAATGGGAGCCGAGATAGCTAACCGTAAGCCCTGACAGCATGTGGTTCTGAATGAACACTTCTGTATCAGCCCTACTCCAATGTTAGCTAGCATTACCTGCTCTGTGCTCAAGCATCTGTCTGTGTAGTGTTCATGTATAGCACAGCACAGTGTCACCACAACGATACATACATCAGGACTTGTGGTCGAAGTCCCGACATAATAAATGCTGCACTCGCAGCATGATAAGCTAGGTCTGGTTTAGCTTGTCACTTCTTCAGCTAGCCGCTAACGTGTTCACTGCATGATGATCACTACAAGTCTGAAAAACTACAATGCTTTTTAATGCAATGCGAAGCCACCATGTTAATTCATTTGAGCATGTTTATTCCAACCTTCAGGTGAAATTCTAGGTATCGTATTCATCATATCCTATCATCCTTTTTAATGCAGTTTAGTTTTATTTGTTACACTTTTATTAATTAAGATTTAGTCAACCCATCTAGTAGCTGTAGAATAGGGTCTAAACATGGGCTTTGACCATCTATCAAGATTTAGCTATAATATTGACTGATTATATGAATAAACATTTATCTTAATGTTTTTGTAGGAGCCTTAAAGCTGGTTTTTGATGGGGCTGCACCAGGAGTGTCGGTATTAAGTCTTTGCGAAAGAGGTGATGCTTTTATAACTCAAGAAACTGGAAAAATCTTCAAGAGGGAAAAGGAAATGAAGAAGGGTAACACACGTCTTAATGGTTATTTGTTTGATACTTTGTCAACATTATTTGTATGCTTTCTATTGTAGGTATTGCATTTCCGACATGCGTCTCAATCAACAACACTGTATGCCATCATTCTCCTCTTAAGAGTGACCCTGATGTCATGTTAAAAGATGGTGACCTTGTAAAAATGTGAGATTTCTTCTGAAATATACACGTTGTATAAACACAACATCTGGTATATCATTGTTGTTGTATTATGTTTTCAAGCTAAATTATTTAAATATGATTTATGAATCTCAGAAGGTTTGCTATTGATTGTGTTTATGAATGTGAGTATAAGTTCTTCATAAACAACATTTAAAAACATGTCATTCAAAATGTTGAGCTGCCAACTCAAAATGCTTTGGTGTTAACCCTTTGAAATTAGATACATTTTAAAATGTATATTGAAGTCAATTCTCCAGACCTATAATGATATATCTGTGATGTGTTTGTATTTCTGTTGAATTCATATATTATTTCAGGTTTTCGTAACATTTTATTTTTGTTTGCAGCGACTTGGGTGTACATGTCGATGGCTTTATATCAAATGTGGCTCACACTTTTGTTGTTGGAATAACAAAGGTAGTTGTATCATCTCCATTAAATCAGAGATTCTCAAACTCTCCAAGTGACACAATAGATGAGTGGGTAGAAGAATCCTCCAGCGAATGCAGAGCTCATCATCTGGAGATGGTTTCAAATGCTGCTCACCCACTCTTCCTTCCAGGGTGTCCCAGTAGCACTGGGTGATGGAGCGGCCATGGGTGGGGGGCTGTAAAGCGTACTAATGCAACATATCTGGTATTTAGTACCAGTTAATCTGAAATTTTCTTTGTGAATATAACTAGTGATAAAAGTGTAAGAGTTTGAGAATCATGGTTGTAAAGTTCAAAACTGAATGTCATCTGTATGAAAGACTAATAACAATCTTTGTAGGAGAATCCACTGACTGGACGGAAGGCTGATGTTATTAAAGCAGCTCATCTTTGTGCTGAAGCAGCTCTGCGTCTCGTGAAACCTGGGAACCAGGTACAAATGTGTCGCAAAATCAAATTCAGAGGAATTGCCGTTCCTTTTCTCACCTTTGTGAACTTTCATCTTCCAGAACACGCAGGTGACAGAGGCTTGGAACAAGATTGCAAAGTCATTCAAGTGTGCCTCTGTAGAGGGCAAGTACTGAATATGTATGATTTGGATGATTGTTCTTTAATAGCATTTTAATGCTTTTTTATTGTAAAAAAGGCTATACATTTTGTAGTACTTTCAGTGTGCTCTGTGTAATTTAAGGACACGTATCACAGAAGAGTAAATCAGTTCTGCTTAAGACTGGTCTCTGCAGTCTTAAGGTTATCGAAGACTGCAGACCAATTGACTTTTAGTAACGTAAACTATAAGAAAAATAAATTATCCAAAATGTTCAATTTTTCTAAAAAATATTAGTTGAATATTGAGAATCATAAACAGATTTCTTGTATTCATCTTGTACTTTGTTTTATTCAGGTATGCTGTCCCACCAACTAAAGCAGCATGTCATTGATGGGGAGAAAACAATCATTCAAAATCCATCCGACCAGCAAAAGTGAGACAATTCTGGTGATGGCTATGCTACACCATAGAGCTGGCATTGCTACACCATAGAGCTGCCACTGCCACACCATAGAGCTGGCACTGCCACACCATAGAGCTGCCACTGCCACACCATAGAGCTGCCACTGCTACACCATAGAGCTGGCACTGCCACACCATAGAGCTGGCACTGCCACACCATAGAGCTGGCACTGCCACACCATAGAGCTGCCACTGCCACACCATAGAGCTGGCACTGCCACACCATAGAGCTGGCACTGCCACACCATAGAGCTGCACTGCCACCATAGAGCTGCACTGCACACCCATAGAGCTGCCACTGCCACACCATAGAGCTGCCACTGCTGCCACACCCATAGAGCTGCCACTGCCACACCATAGAGCTGGCACTGCCACACCATAGAGCTGCCACTGCCACACCATAGAGCTGCCACTGCTACACCATAGAGCTGGCACTGCCACACCATAGAGCTGGCACTGCCACACCATAGAGCTGCCACTGCCACACCATAGAGCTGGCACTGCCACACCATAGAGCTGGCACTGCCACACCATAGAGCTGGCACTGCTTTGCATGTATTGTTTCACAATGGGGCTTTAGATACATTTAAGTTAAGCTATTTGTATTACTTAAATACCTTATTACACCTTACCTTAATACAGTTATTTCTCCTCACCAGAGATCTGGGGTCATGTGCAGTTTGTGATCTATGAAAAGATCACAAACTGCACATGACCCCTTATCTCTAGGAGCTTAGTTAAGAGCTCCTAGAGATAAGAAAAACGAGTAGTGAGCCTGTTTGGGGAAGTTTAACTTAAAGTAAAAAATATATATGTATGAAAAGTTTGGGGAACCAGATCAGTAAATTGGCTTGGTGACCTCTCATGCTTTTTATGCTATGAGATTTCTGTTGCCATAGTGTGTAACATTCTTCACAAAGTAAACTATGATTTACTTTCCACTACAAAAGTTGCACTGATCATATTTTATACACACTTTAAAAAGAAATGCAACGTTCACATTTTACCTCTGACTCACATTGTAACAGAAAGGACCATGAAAAAGCTGAATTCGAAGTGCATGAGGTATATGCAGTTGATGTCCTTGTCAGTACTGGAGAGGGAAAGGTAAAGTTTCATACTTTTAAACAACTTTAAAAATCTATTTCTCATTTCATAATATTTTTATTTCAGCCGAAGGATTTGGGCCAAAGGATCACAGTTTATAAAAGGGACCCCAACAAAGTGTATGGCTTGAAGATGAAGACCTCCCGTGCTTTCTTTAGTGAAATGGAGCGGCGCTTTGATAGAATGCCATTCACTCTGAGGTGTTTTTTTTATTATCTATTAAAAGAAATTAAAAGCATATTGGTTAAAAAGATTACTGTTTGTTTTACTTTTCACAAAGAGCTTTTGAAGATGAAGGAAAAGCCAAATTAGGAGTGATAGAGTGTGCCAAACATGAGCTATTGCAGCCGTTTACAGTGCTTCAAGAAAAAGAAGGTGAATGTTTTTTTTAATACATTAAATTGAGTTTTTTTTATCATTTTAGAGGTCTGTACAAATGTTTTAAACCTGCTACTTATTTGATCATTGCCATTTTTAGGTGAATTTGTTGCCCAGTTTAAATTTACTGTGCTGCTCATGCCCAATGGACCATTGCGCATTACAAACAGCCTTTATGAGCCAGAACTTTACAAGTCAGACTTTGATGTGGAGGATCCAGAACTTAAGGTGAAAGAAAACATTACATTTTAAATTACATTTTCTGTTTGAGTTATACAATGTACTTTTTTGCTCCATTCAGACTTTGCTGCAAAGTTCTGCTAGCCGCAAGGCACAGAAGAAAAAGAAAAAGAAGGTAATATGTCTCCTTCATTATTCATGATTTTAAAATAAAATTCCTATTAACTGTAAACTTACATTTACATTTCTTTCAGGCTTCAAAAACTGTTGAGAGTGCAACAGGACAATCAGGGGAGACTGAAGCAGCAGAGTAGAAAGAATGTGAATGAAATTTGATGTGAAGACACAAAAATAGTGATTTCTTTTGGGACAAGGGCACATATGAAAGCTGCCGAAAAATAATTCAAAACTTTGAGATGCAGACGGATCGTATGTTAAGGAGAAGCATACAGTTGATGCCTGAATACCTCCCTCGTGTGACTGACATCGAGTCTCACCACAACTTTAAAGATGATCTCAATTTCAAGTGTTTTGTTTTCATGTGTATTAAGCCATATGGTGTGATGACACATTTACAGTGTCGTCTATAATTATGAAATAGATTTATGGAGTCTGAATTCGGATTAATAATTGGCAATACATGTGTAGGACACTTGAGAATGGGTGATGATATTTATTATACAATCTACATTTTAAGCAATGGATAATTGCTTAAAAGGAAAGTGCTAGTAATACTGCTAATCCCTTACAGTCTGTGTTTACATAAGATCTCCATACCTGATAACATATGGATGCTTTTGTAAAACAACTAACAGAGACTATTTTTGAAAACATTAAAAAGCCACATTGCATAGTTTATGCCTACTTTGTATCTTTTTTTTTCTCCTCACATACGAGTCTTGCACAGTCATGAATAAGTCCCTGTGACTCAATTATGTAACTGGCCGACTGGCTCAGTTGGTAGTGCTGGCTGTGGACTCCCCACCTGCCAGACTATCAGGGGACGGATCAATTGCCCCTGTACGAGGCAATTCATTATTTATGTATTTAATATGTACATAATAACATTAGACGAATCACATGCATTGCTCTAATTGTTATAGCACACGTGCTGATTTTCAAAAGTAACTCAATTTTAATGGAAAATGAGTTTTCCACCTCCTGAAACGTAAGGAAAGTGAAGCTTATTGCACAATTCATACACAAGGCAATTCAATGTATTTGATGCAAAACATCAACATGAGTTAGTGCTATACATAAAACAATTATATTTAGCCAGAACAGGATGTATTAAGTAATTTTCTAGATAAATTACCAGAGCATTTGCTAACAAATACATGAATTGAGCACATGCAGCTATACTTGTTTTGCATATAATCATATACTATATCAGTATTATTCTTATATATAATATACATACAATTGTTTATAAAATACAATACAATATTGAGGCCAAATGTAACATGCACATTTCTCCATTCTGAGATCAATGAAGATTTTTCTTATCTTTAGCTTATTGCCAGTATGGACTCCATTACCCATAGTTCACACGGGGTTCAAATCTCTATAAATACCGTCGCAGGTTATTGACGTAAAGACGTGTCCTTCGTGCTCGTAACTGGTATGTTTCAACTTTGCATCGTTCACAATCCACATTCAATCTCCACTTCCCTTTGGCATCCGAACAATCTTAATTTTAATCTTCTTGTTTTAGGTTGGTCTCCTTGCAATGAGGGCAAAGGTTGGTGTGTTTTATAAGCATTTTGTGATTATTAGTCAGTTCAATGGCTGCTGGATTCTGTGGTCAAACACCATAAGTTATAACTTGACTATCAAATATATCATGTGTCCTTAAAGTGTACATCTGAGGACACTGAAGGGTCGGAGCACTTACTGTAACGTCGGGCACATGTCCTGTACACTTCCTGGAACCAAGTTGGGAGATTGCGTTCTCATTTATACAATTACATAGAACTTACAATTGGGATAACAAACCTGACAGTAATTATTGGATTTTGTTTTGGCTTACGTATCGGATATATTTGACCTAATTCTTAACAATGAAAATGAAGCGCTGAAGCCCCAGGCACCTCAAATCGGTAAAATGCCTTAAACCTGACAGCTCAAGGCAGTATCTAATGTGTATAGATCATTGACCATTGTGCAGCCAGTCTTAAAGAGCCTCACACGCAGCAGAAATGAATCTTCAGATTTATAAACTAGTGGCCTGTCACATTATTAAATTACAAAAAGGCTTTGATCACATTTTCAATGGCTTAGAGTAATCTGTTAGTCTCTAATTAACCCATGTGTTATCCTCGGGCCAAAATAATCTGCCACAGTTATTTAAAAGGTAAAAAAAACCCACTAAATTGGGTTCTAAATGACAGTCAAGTTGGGAAAATTTAGATTTTAATCCATTTGACCCACGGATGGCACAATTTGTGCAAACTTGTTTCCCTTTGAATAGAATGATAGACTTAAGTGTTTTTGAGATCACCCAGTTCAGTTACTGAACCATTTACATGCAACAGAGGAAATGTGTGCGGTAACTGCAGCGTTTGGTAGATTTGAGCAGGGACAATAAAACAAAAGGGACCAATACTGGTCGCAGGGGTCTCCAAACCGGTCCAGAAAGGGCCGCTGTGGCTGTAGGTTTGAGATCAGACCCAACAGGAGTAGAGCAGACGACCCATTTCCTCAAATCTTCAGGTTAAGACTGAACTCACTTGAGGTAATGTTGGAGTCTGTTGGGAGTGGTTTGCATGGTCTAAAAACTATTTTGTTTTCTTCCATTAAGGTACCTAAGGCCCAGTTTATACGGAGGCGCTGCGCAGACGTTGCCAGGCTATTAACAAACGACCGGGCTCCTAATGCAAATTTCACAGCGTTCATACAAGGATCTAAAACGATGTAGTTCTAGCGCCCGGACAGTAGTGGGCAGAGGAACTTTACAACACGACACACGCGTGCCCCAGCCCCCCCAAATTACTTGCCCCTAAAATATGTATGGAAACCTTAAACATTCTAAACATGTGGTCAGTCTGCACAATTTAAAAATGTTATAGCTGGTGGTTTCTTGGTCTAGTCTATTTAAAGACAAATTAAAACTATGCTTCATATTCTTTTGCAGTGGAGGAAGAAGCGCATGCGCAGGTGAGTTATCTGTCACTTGTTATACCTCCACAAATGGCTACCGCCACTAACTGTTTCTTATGACAGGCTGAAGCGCAAACGAAGAAAGATGAGACAGCGATCCAAGTAGACTCGTGGTGTCTTCACTTCATAATGAATTGGACGGACTGGCTGGTCCGTCCCAGACAGGGGAGATGACCAGGGATGTCATGAACCAGGGGCCACAGGGATCAACACCTGTAAATGAAGCTGAAGGCTGATTGTAGACCGACTGGACAACAAGATTTCTGTCTGAAGTGTTCTGGACCTTTTTAAATGTCCAATACTTTTTCCATGTTTGATTCTTTATACTGTGATTAAAGGTTGTGGTTATAACGTTTATATTCTACCTGTGGCCTTTTTGATTAGCTTTACCTTCAGTTTTAGTTGAGCTGAGCAGCATATTAAAAGCATACAATGAGTAGAAATCTAGCTCAATTTGTCCTGCCGTGGAGTGTCCATAAATGTTCACTCGTTGCTCTTGTGACACTGACGGATGGGTCAATGTAAAAGACTAACGTCCGTACAAGGACAAATATTACTTTGACCTTATGTGTTTCTATTGGCGCACAATTACCTAACGTAATACTCGTCATTATCTCTTCGAAATTAAAGGACATATTTCAAATGGTCATGTTCAACAAACCAGCTACTAGGAAGAGCTCTAATCCTGAGCATGTCAGGATGAACCACGGATTAGGGTTTTTCTCGGTGCGCGTCGAGCCTGAAAATTGCTGATGCGTAAACTCATCGCCACCGGTGTTTAATGTGAATCCGCATGGATCTATGTTTACACGACACAAACGTGGACACTCTGCAGCGCGGATCACATCTCTGGACTGATCACGGGCCGTCTCTACTCGCACAAGGAATAATACAATAGTTTCGCTGCAGAACGAATGGTCTCTAATGTCACTGCCGAGTCAGTTATTCGTCAGTTTTTGTCTGTCCCCCCCAGTTCTACCACGACTCTACTCTGACTTGTTTGCTACAAGTTCTTTCTACTGGACCCTATGAAGGAGCGTCTCACGCAGAGCCCGCCCTCGTGGGTCTGGTCTCCACGCTCCGCTCAGAATGAGGCAGAGCAGTGCACGTAAATACTGGTGCGTGCCATAGACGAGGGTCTGAGCGTTAAATGACCCTACATCATCGTGTTTCCTCAATGCCTTCGTCTTACTCCAGTGAAGCGCGTTTGGCGCTTACTACTCCGGCATAGAGATCCACAGGGCTGAACCAGTGGGTCCCAGTGGCTTCGGGAGATGTCGTCCACAGATTGCACTGCGGAGATGGCCTCTGCGAGCAGTGCCCCCGGGGAGCGAGCTGTCAGTGTGCTGTGGTCCTTCAGTAAATGCCTGGGTGCGCTGCTGCCCGTGTACCTGGCGGGATACTACGGCTGCAGCATCAGCGTGCTGCTGCTGGCGCTCATGGTCTACATGGGATGGAAACACAGTCGGCTGGAAAAATTGATGAGACTCAAATCCGCAATGTACGTTCTGGAGAATGAAAGGGAATTCACAACGGCAAAGGTATTCCGGAGCAAAGGGGATTTGCCTCCCTGGGTAAGGGTCTTCTGATTTCACGGTCACTTTTTATGATGCGCTATGTGAAGATATGATTTTGGTTCACTCATCCCCCTCAGTCACAACCCCTTATTTAGACATACAGCTGTTCTGTGCCGCAGGAAGCTGGAGCCTCTACACTAAATAAGGAGGCCTAATCTTTTGACTTTTCCCCTCAATTAACTACATCTACCACCAGCTAACATATCATCAATATTATTGTGCAAATGTCACGAGTCTAATGTGTTATCATGGGGTTTGGTCTACACCGCCTGCGGTTTCCAGTTTCCTGAAACGCTTCAGTTCTGCAACTGACAACATTCAACCAATTTTTCACTGAATATTATCTATTCCATTAATTATCTATCTATTATTTGGATCCCATTTTAATTGGCCAATATTTTTTACAGACATACTAGAGTATTGTAGTAGTGTTGGTACTTTTGCCTATATATTTTTGTATATTGGCAGGTCAATTTTCCAGATGTCGAAAAGGTGGAGTGGTTGAACAAGGTATGTGCATTCATTTCAATGAAAGTTGCCCAAAAATCTAACATTGTATTAGGCTACTTAATAGTGACTATGGTGGAGACATCTGCCGTTGATGGAGCTCATGTGGCAGTATCCACATTGCAGATAACCATGAGTTGTAATGAAGTGAGGGAGTAGGAGAGCGGGTGACCAGGGAGAGCCTGAGATTCTATTGAAGATCCCCCCCTGTCTGTACAGTATTTTTGCTGTGAAAGTATGGACAGAATACTAAACATAATTGCCCTTGTGCAAAAAGGAAAACCCAATGAACGCAATGACAGAAGATGCACATTGTAATGGCGTCATCCTTCCCCAGCTTTCACAATCATGCAATGTTCTAGTAGTGTATGTAATTGAGGCAGGAGCAAAAATGCACCAAGGATTTCAAAAACCCTGCTAAAAACATTAAAATATAATAATAATGGGGGCATATTTTATTATTTTGATTCAGTGACATAACTTTATCTACAGAGTGCTTGAATCAGTCCAATATGCTCACTGAATAAATGTCCCTAAAATCTGATTAATTCCCATTTATTAATATAGGAATGAAACCAAACGTGTGTGTGGTTGGTAATCTGTTCGTAGAACCGTTTGGAGAACTATCATAAGCAGCAGTTGGTCATAATGTTGAAACACATTCTTTACCCGACTAGCACTATGCTCTTACTCTTAACATAGATGCGCAAAATCTAGCACCAAAAAGACAATAATACATGTGGTATTACTTCACCACAAACCTGAGGTCTTCAAACTCTCATTCAAACTCATTCTGATAGTGTTTTGTGATTTTTGTTTCTATTTAGTTTTCATATTAGTCTCCTGCCTTGTCAAAACTGACTGTAATAGCAAATGCATACTTCTATTTGTATGTGGTTTAGTCTGTGTTCAAATGGTGACTTCTTCAAAAGGGACTTGTGCAGTGTTATCTACAATTTATTTTGTTCACTCGTTTGTTTTGTTTAAATGTAGTTATTGTTTAGAGTAAGGGTGTAATCACTGTTATTGGTCAACTGCACTCGGTTCACCTCAGAAGCAAATGCACTAGTCCTCATGACGAGACTGAACTGTTTCAGAAGAAGAGAATTGACTTAAGTGACGGCTAATGACAAGTGAATATTTAGAATAATGCCCACTCCAGACCTCAACATGTCATCAGTAACATATGATACTGGTTGATGTTGGGGCCAATGATCTGCCGGGCCAAATGTCGACACCTACCCCTACTTTGATGTCACTTGGACCCATGCATCAATGTTGTCACTCAGATGCTCTTACAATTTCCATTTCATTTTAGATATTGCAGCAAGCATGGCCTTTCATTGGGCAGTACCTTGAGAAGTTGCTGGTTGAAACCATTGCTCCAACTATTCGTGCATCCAGCATTCACTTGCAGACTCTCAGCTTCACCAAGGTCAATCTGGGAGATAAGGTATACAAACATGTGGAATACTTATGAAAAATATGTTCATCAAAGCGGGTTGTTGCAAAACGTACTTATTTCATTTGCTTTGTTGAACACCTGCTGTTCCCAGGCTCTGAAGATTGCAGGTGTCAAGGCTCACACTGAACATGATAAAAGACAAGTCATGTTGGATTTGTATGTGAGGTAACAAGATTTTGTGTCCCCGTGCTGCCACTCAATACACATAGCAACCAGTCTATCTAGTTGCTCCCATTAGATTTAAGTCCAGGACATTAGAGCTGGTAAATATTTACTTTTCCTGGTGAAGAAGCTCTCCGCTGTAACTGGAGTTTGGGAACTGGACTTGATCTATGGCTTTAAATGTTTTTTCATTCTTATTTTAGCTATGCTGGTGATGTTGAGATCAATGTGGAAATCAAAAAGTACTTCTGTAAGGCTGGTGTGAAAGGTGTTCAGGTAAATATAAGAACCTGATGGAAAAATGTTTATTCTGATAGCTATGGTCAAAGTCCTTTTATTGGCTTTCTCTCCCAGCTGCATGGAAAGCTGCGCGTCATCCTCGAACCGCTTATTGGAGATGTACCGCTTGTTGGAGCCATCACAATGTTTTTCATCCGCAGACCAGTAAGTATGACAGTATAAGCATATTATTTTAGGGATTTTAGACTAATTGGTGTTTGAATTTGTATTTATGGAAATGCACTTGCATCTACTTATAGAAACTGGATATCAACTGGACTGGATTAACCAACCTCTTGGATATTCCAGGGTTGAAGTACGTATTGTTGCTAAAATGAGGCAGTATATCATTGGCATTAAAATAAAAATGTTAAATACAGTATGAGATCATGAACAATATGCTTGTGTATTACTATGACAAATATTTATATCTATAATGAATTTATGTCATTATTTTTTAATGTCACTGTTGTATCATCCATCATTCACAGTGCCATGTCGGACACGATGATCATGGATGCTATAGCCTCCCACCTGGTCCTCCCCAACCGTCTCACCATTCCCCTAGTGTCCAATCTACATGTTGCACAACTCCGCTCTCCTCTCCCAAGGGTAACTTTCCATAATGAGCAATTCGCAATGGTTGATAAATATGATTTTAAAACTCATGTGTATTCATGAACAAATCTTAATGCCTTGCGTTTACACAAACAACCCTCATACAACATCACAAAACTGTTATAGCTATCTTCCGACCGCAAAGACGTCAGTCTGATGTGTTTATCTGTGCTCTTTTGCAGGGCGTAGTGCGTATTCACCTGCTGGAGGCTGAGAACCTCACGGCCAAAGACACCGTTATTAAAGGGATAATTGATGGAAAGTCAGACCCTTATGCTGTGATGCGTGTAGGGACCCAGGTGTTCACATCTCATCATGTGGACAGTAATCTGAATCCACAGTGGAGAGAGATGTTTGAGGTGAGAGGGTATTACCAGAATAAGGAACACTGGGGACACATCCGTAAGTAACGGTATTATTATCCAAAAGCCGGATATGATCGATTTCTGTGGTTTCACCTGCTCGCTGTTGGTGTTTTTGTTTTGTAGAGGCTGCAGGTCTTTAGCCTAAAAGCAGTCTTTGGCTTCCTGACTGCTTTTACAGATATCTGTTTTTCTTGTAACAGGAAGCTTTATCTCTGAGAGATGCAGCATTTCAAATGCTCTTTCAAAACCTCACTGGTTCTTGTTTTTAACAACAAACAAGAAATTGACAATGAAATGTAGATGCTATTACTTTGTTTGCATGCTATGTGCTGCCCTTGCAGGTGCTTGCTTATGATAGTATAATTGTGGTGCGTATTGTGTACATCCATGTTTGTGTGTATGTCAGGTGATTGTCCATGAAGTGCCTGGTCAGGAGTTGGAGGTGGAAGTATTTGACAAAGATCCAGACCAGGATGACTTCCTGGGCAGGTAGCTTCTTCATTATCAATCTGTCTCTATGTGCCTCTCATGCTCCCATCTCTTCTTTGGCTACAATGGGCCTCAGCTTGAAGAACAACTTTTTGGGCATCTACGTGAATAATGGCGCCGACTGACATGTTTACTGCTCCTATGTGCTCTCTTTCAGGGTCAAGGTGGATCTTGATATTGTAAAAAAGGCAAGAATTGTTGATGATGTAAGTTATAAGATATTTGGTCTTTTACAACATTTGGCTTCTTAAAAACATATAATCATGATAATCATTGCTGTTATCAAAGAGATGATGAAATGCAGTAATCCCCACCATGTGACCAAGATGAAGTCTTCATGTGATCCTCTTGTGATCTTTGTTTTTGCCAACAGCAGTTTCTTCATCCTGACACTTTGAGACTCAGCAGAAGTTAAATATGTATTTAATTTTTTTTATTTTGTGCAACTATAGTGGTTCAATTTACGAGACGTCCCGAGTGGCAGTGTCCATCTCCGACTGGAGTGGCTTTCTTTGTTGTCTTCTGCTGAGAGACTGAGCGAGGTACAATGTCATGTTTAAGCATGCTGGGTTTTTAATGTTTATTGTTCCAATTCACCTTTTATGTTACTGGGTTTAGGTCATCCAGAAGAACCAGAACTTGACCAGTCGAACCACCGATCCACCGTCTGCGGCCATCCTTGCAGTCTATCTTGATCAGGCCCATGCTTTACCCGTAAGACTATTCTGGTCTGTTCAAACACATACACTTTACTTAGACATGACAATTTCTTTCAGATGAGAAAAGGAAACAAAGATCCAAGTCCGATGGTGCAAATCTCTGTTCAGGACACAACCAAAGAGAGCAAGGTAAAGCAAAGAAAACGAATGAAATACCAGTCAATGAATTCAATAATCGTAAAATATTATTTTAGACATGTTATGGGACAACAAATCCATCATGGGAGGATGCCTTTACATTCTTCATTCAAGATCCCTGCAAACAAGACATTGACATTCAAGTATGTCCAAAATGTTTAATTTGTTTGTATATAATTGCCCTTTGGGTTTGCTAAAGGCAATAACATCAACATCAACGTTCCGTTTTTCAGGTCAAAGATGATGACCGAGCATTTCCGTTGGGAAATCTGAGTATTCCTTTGAGTCATCTCCTCTCCTCCTCCAAACTCACAATGGATCAGTGGTTTCAACTGGAAAATTCAGGCTTAGCGAGCAAGATATACTTCAAAATGGTGTTAAGGGTTAGTGTTACTATTCAAACATACATAGATAGTGATAGAACCTCACTGTTTTAATAGTCAATTACTAGTTACATGGATTTTTACCACATAGTTCATTTTTTGTGGTTACAAAGATCGTTACTTTAAGTGGATTCTCAAAGTGAATATTGTCTGAAATATTGGATTGAGATAATCATAATCTACGGATGATAAATTGTATAACCTTAGCTTTAATAAAACCGGTGAAATGGATAAAACAATTGGTTCAGTCTACAGATACTGTACATATAATCATACCTTGTAGCACTTTCCTCTGATAACCTCAGCTTGTGTGGTAGGTTTTATGGCTGAGTGATGATGCCACTCCTACCACCCCTCCTCGTCCTTCTTCTTTCGCCTCTGGGATGGGGTCAGGGGCATTGACCTCAGAGGTGAATCCAATGGGGCCAGGAGGGTTGTCCAAAACACCACCAACCCGACCACAGCACGCGACGCCTGACTCTGACTTTGCAACTGAGGTACTGTATGTGTCTTGAGATATTTCTGTTTCATGTCCATGTGTCCTGTGCTGCTATGCTAGATAGCTGTATTAGTTGTGTAAATTATGTATGCTTCCCAAGTCCCAGTTTTATTCAGGGCGCACTATGGCAGGGCAATGATCCTTCCAGTCAGAACATTTTGGAATGCCAGATCTGAAAGGGCTCAAAGTTGCAGCATTCTCTCACTTTGTGATGTGCTAACAGGGAGTGTTGCGGCTTCATTTGGTGGAGGCTCAGAATCTGATTGCCAAGGACAACTTCATGGGGGGCATGGTGAAAGGCAAGAGCGACCCATATGTGAAGATCCGTGTGGCTGGGAACACTTTTAGAAGCCACACAATCAAAGAAAACCTTAATCCCATTTGGAACGAGCTCTTTGAGGTATCAACCATTTCATTATAGAGATATTGTAGATATTTGGCACTCTGCAGTGTAATATTATGTTTAAACTGCAGGTGATATTGACCCAGCTGCCCGGGCAAGAGATTCAGTTTGAGTTATTTGACAAGGACATTGATCAGGATGACTTCCTTGGAAGGTTTTTCAACAGAAAATAATAAATAAAAAAATATTGTAACATTTTAATTTACCAGGCACTAATAAACCAATTCAACTACTAATACAATGTTTCTATCATATTCCAAGGTTTAAACTAAGCCTTCGAGATATCATAAGTGCACAATGTATTGACACGGTAAGTCAGAGTAAAAATCTATTTAAATGCAGGTTTGATGGATAATTATATATAATCTAGTCTGCCCTCTGGGTCACAGTGGTACACTCTTAATGATGTGAAGTCTGGACGTGTTCACCTTGTGATGGAGTGGCTGCCCAGAGTTACTGATGTGTTTAGACTGGAACAGGTCAGTAATCTCTCTCTAATATCAGTAGTGCTTATGAACGTTATGCATTTATTAAGGTGTGATAACCAATGAGGCTTTTTGGAATGTAATTGACTTTAATAGTAATTATTTGCATTTACCAACTCACAGTATGTTGAGTGTTATAAATATAACTCCAGTCATACGTACTGATACCTCCTCACTTGTAGGTCCTGCAGTATCAGTCGCAGCAGTCGTATCAGAACAAGGCTGTGCCGTCGTCAGCTGTCCTGTTTGTCTATGTGGAGCGGGCGCACGGTCTGCCGGTGAGATCATGTCTATGAGTCTTCTTGGATTTATTTGTTTATCATGTTGATGACTTTTCTTACTCACAAGAGCAGTGACAATGCAGTTAGCGCCACACTGCTTAAGGCGGATTGCTTACACAGCTGCATGACCTTCTATAACTTCTCCAATGATTTACGACATATTTCACATGATTGAAATTATGTGTGTTCCAGCTGAAGAAAAATGGAAAGGAGCCAAAAACTGGCGCAGAGGTTATCCTCAAAAATGTATCACACAAGACAAAGGTAGGAGCACAGGCAGAGGAGGCGTGTCAAAACCATGGATCTATTATAATAACGGTCAAAACCCATTACCTTGAAAAATGTCTTATTGTTTGTTGTTGTACAGATTTTTGAGCGCTCAACCTCACCACGGTGGGATGAGGCCTTTCATTTCCTGGTACGGGATCCACGGGATGAAATCCTCATAGTGAAGGTGAATCTGATACAGTGAACTTAATTACATGATTATTTTATTATAGATTAAGAAGTATGGTATGGACATTTGCACTGTTAGCAGGTTCCTGTTTGCTCCTGAGCCCTTGGGATTGTCCTAATACGGCCCTAAAGGTGTGAAAACAAAAGTGATTGTTTCTGTTTCTGCTCAGCTCTCTCACAGTTGGGGCCAGAGTCTTGGCTCGGTCACACTGCCGCTCAGACAGGTCCTCTCCGAGCCTGGGTTGCTGCTCGATCGCTGGTTCAATTTGGACGGAGCTCTGCCAGAAAGTCAGATACTACTGAGGATCACACTTAAGGTACAGACAGTATTCTCCACCAAACCTGATACTGTTGTATGGAATATGACAATGCATATGTTGACTTTCTCTTCTACGTGCGTCTGTCGTTAGATCCTGGACACTCAGCTGACTTGTCGTAGGGGGGAGGGTGATGTCTCCATGGAGGAAGTTGTCCCCAAATGGGACCCTTCTCATCTTGACCTCAAACACAGGGTTGGTCATTCCATGTGAGTAAATAAGATTATGTTAATAAAGCAGGGGTACCTAGCCTAACCTTTTTTTAACTTTATTACATTTCTTTGCCCAACAGAAAGAGTCTTTTGTTAGTAAGAGCCCTGTGAGTCATTATTTGAGTGTGGTCCTCTCTGTTTCCTTATTCCGGCTGATAAAACTGATCTAAAGATATGAAAACTAGTGGTAGAACTAACCGTTTTGAAAGTGAGATTTAAAAATAGAATCAGATTAGTTACATGTTTTGTCATTTGAAACTCCAGGTACCCCAGCTTTAATTCATGTCAAATTAGGAGAACATGAACTAATACAGATATGTCTTTTCCAGTGCTGGTGAAAACGGCGGAAATGTTGCTGGACAGGTGAAGCTTTCCATCGGTTACTCCACAGAGGAGAGCAGGCTTTTCATCACAATACATTCTTGCAGGTCCTGAGTCGTACCAATATTTTTTTTACGTCATCCTTATTTCAGTGGATGCCTTGTCATACAGTATTTGTGTGCAATACATACTCCCCTACAGGAACCTGGCACCCTGCTCAAAGGACGGAGCCGATCCCTATGTTACCTTTGTCCTTCTGCCCGATAAAAAAGCAACTTCTAAACGACGGACTGCCACAAAGAAGAGAGACCTGAACCCAGAGTTTAATGAGAGGTACGCCACCGACAGCTCCATTAGTCTGCAGACGTGACCTTCTCACCGCTGCCTCTGTTCTTTGCAGGTTCGACTTTGATTTCTCACTGGAGGAGTCAGCGCAGAGAAAACTGGACCTTTCTGTGAAGCACAATGTCTCGTTTATCAGCAGAGAGAAGGAGCTCATCGGAAAAGTAGGAAACAACACGTAATAGGGCTGAAATAATAATCGAAAACCCAATCTTTGTGGTCACTATGACTGCAATTTAAGTTAATCGCAACAACAAAAAAATCACTTTGGAATTGGGAAAATATCACTTGATTTGAGTGCATTTTGAAGATTTTAGTATCTGCATTCATAAGAGTTTTATGAGAAAAGATGAAAACGTACATTTATATAAATAGTTCATTGGCAAAAATAAAGAAGTGCCATTAGACATTTTTCCCTTTACCAAGTAGTACATTGAAAAGCCAGATATATTTTTGTGTTGTACAAATAAAGTTTTACCACTTACCACAGCATGTTTCTAGAGGAATACAACTTTTGACCAATTTTCTAAACGGAGACGTCAGTTTTTTGCAAATGGTCTCTTCATATATTTAATGTTTTCCAGAGAATCTTTTATGTATAAGAGAATAAAAATGGTTGTATGATAGCTTGCAGGTTAGACCATTTTTTAAAGTGTGTGGGCACCGTGTAAGCAATGAGGTAATCGCTTCATATGCACACTTTACTTTATTTTCTTTATTTGTCCTCTCAGATGCAGCTGGACCTGGACCAAATTGACATCAAGACCGGTGTTACCCAATGGTATTTTGTTTTGCCTCTTTGATTTTGCTTCTCTTTCATGGACAGATATTTAATGTGTCCTGTTTTGTGTTCTCAGGTACGACCTGGTGGCAGAAGTCAATTAGAAGACATCATGCCTGCTTAATCTTCAGCTATACCACGTTTAGTACTGCTTTAGTGTGTGTGTGACTTGTGTGAATATTCAGCTTGAATAGAAATCACCGCCTTCACTGAAGAAAACCTTTCCAACAAAAGGTCCGTCTGTATTTAAGAACAAAGTGTAGTTTATCATGAAGCATTAACTGTGACGTGTTCATCAGTGTTCTTCAGGAGAGAAAACAGATTGCACCAGAGATTATGAGTAACACCTTGTTCACAGTCTGGATCAGTTGCTGCGGTAGAGATGGTTTAGAATGACCAAATCACTGATTTTTTATTTATTTTAGTTTTGGCTCTCTTTATTGTTTTTTAACTGCAAATTGAAGAATTGTATTTATATTTTTGCCTTAAGTATTATGAAACATTGCACAGATTGTCAGTATTGGACCATTTTGTTTCATATGAAATTGTATATGTTTTAACCAGAGATTTATGAAATAATACTTTTATAAAATATGTATGTATTTAACTCAGACCAGTATAGAGACTAGTGAAGACGGAAGTGAAAATCACTGTGCTTTCTTAAAGATACCTATTGATGTATACCCATGCTGCTTACTGCTGTACTATTCTTATTCAGTTTAGGCTGAAACTTTGACCTCACAAAAGCATGACACTCTTGGCCCTTAATAATGTTGTTCTACTGAAAATGTGATTGCGGAAAATGCTGCTTGCAAATAGAAACGTGCTGCTTTGCGATGTTGCTCACATCATGTCACACTTCTTCTGATCCAACTGATTAAAGTCTGCACCGAAGTCCAACCTTCATTTCATCTTCTTAATTTTGAACAGCAGGTGGGGCTAGAGTGCCACAAAGCTTGGCCCAAACATGTGGGCTTTGTCCCTGCAGATGTGTTTTCAGTGTTGGGAGGGAGTGTAAACATTGACAGGGCTGTCAGCCAATAGGAGAGGCAACTCCCCCGGAAAAGGGAGGGAGGAAGAAAGGAGCCTGCCTCTGAGTGGAGGAACAAGAAAATAGTTTAATCAGGATCACACAACAATAATGAATGGAAACACGCTCAAGCCAACAAAGTTGAGCAGAGGCTAAGTACATTTTGCTCGGCATTTTATCTAATTTCTTATTGGAAAGTGATGGATTGGCCAGGAAAAGCAGAAGAACTTCATTGGAGACAGTGGATATGGACTTTTTGTGAATTATAACAACGCTGGTTTGAGCATACAGTGGGGACACTGTACACCCAAGGCTTCTGACATAAATGGCATTTTCGGACAGAAGATTAAGTTTCTCGCTTTGGAAAAGTGTATTATTCCGAGCCATCTGTTGAATCTACATCTGGGACGTGGATAAAGGAAAGACGCACAGAAAAGAAGCGCTTCTCAATTACTGGATTACACTCATCGGTCAAAATGGGGAATATAGAAAGTGTGGACGGTCATTCCGAAATGAAACACCACATTATGCCTTTGAAGGTCCCTATGCCCGAGCCCACAGAACTGGAAGAGAAATTTGCAATCGTGTTGGTAAGTGGATACGACTGCTGTTAGCTGAGCTTTACTGATGCTCTGACTGTTCAGTGGAGTTTGGAATGATACCTTTGTCTATTTTGTCCTGAAACCGTGGTGACAATAAGTGACATTTGCACTTTTAGTGATGCTTGTGTGTTTATGGTCCATTCTGATGTTAGAAATGGGACAGAGCGGTGTCCCGTGTCCCGCCCCTCGCCCCTCTCTCTCCAGTCTCTCCCCTCTCTCCAGTCTCTCTCCAGTCTCTCTCCAGTCTCTCTCCAGTCTCTCCCCTCTCTCTCCAGTCTCTCTCCAGTCTCTCTCCAGTCTCTCCCCTCTCTCCAGTCTCTCTCCAGTCTCTCTCCAGTCTCTCTCCAGTCTCTGTCCCCTCTCTCTCCAGTCTCTGTCCCCTCTCTCTCCAGTCTCTGTCCCCTCTCTCTCCAGTCTCTGTCCCCTCTCTCTCCAGTCTCCTCTCCCCTCTCTCTCTCAGTCTCCTCTCTCTCTCCCTCTCTCTCAGTCTCTGTCCCCTCCTCTCTCCAGTCTCTCTCCCTCTCTCTCCCTCTCTCAGTCTCTGTCCCCTCTCTCTCCAGTCTCTTCCTTCTCTCTCCCAGTCTCTCTCTTCCCTCTCTCTCCAGTCTCTGTCCCCTCTCTCTCAGTCCTCTCTCCAGTCTCTGTCCCCTCTCTCTCCAGTCTCTGTCCCCTCTCTCTCCCGTCTCTGTCCCCTCTCTCTCCAGTCTCTGTCCCCTCTCTCTCCAGTCTCTCTCCGTCTCTGTCCCCTCTCTCTCCAGTCTCTGTCCCCTCTCTCTCCAGTCTCTCTCTCCAGTCTCTGTCCCCTCTCTCTCCAGTCTCTGTCCCCTCTCTCTCCAGTCTCTCTCCAGTCTCTCTCCCCTCTCTCTCCCCTCTCTCCCCTCTCTCTCCAGTCTCTGTCCCCTCTCTCTCCAGTCTCTCCCCAGTCTCTGTCCCCTCTCTCTCCCCTCTCTCCCCTCTCTCTCCAGTCTCTGTCCCCTCTCTCTCCAGTCTCTCTCCAGTCTCTCTCCCCTCTCTCTCCCCTCTCTCCCCTCTCTCTCCAGTCTCTGTCCCCTCTCTCTCCCTCTCTCTCCCTCTCTCTCCCCTCTCTCCCCTCTCTCTCCAGTCTCTGTCCCCTCTCTCTCCAGTCTCTCTCCAGTCTCTCTCCCCTCTCTCTCCCCCTCTCTCCCCTCTCTCTCCAGTCTCTCTCCCCTCTCTCTCCCCTCTCTCCCCTCTCTCTCCAGTCTCTCTCCCCTCTCTCTCCCCTCTCTCCCCTCTCTCTCCAGTCTCTGTCCCCTCTCTCTCCCCTCTCTCTCCCCTCTCTCTCCAGTCTCTCCTGTGGTTCTTTTGTCTCTGGAGTCAAAGCTCTGCGTTTGGCTCAAGTGGCAAACACCAAACGCGGGGCGGGGGTGTGAGCAGGAGTTTTGTTGGTAACATAGGAGACCACATCAGGCAGTGTGCTTTAAAGTGACAATATGGAGGATAGCTATAGGCCATGTAGGCGACCAAACTATATACTCTGTGTGATGTAGGACATAGTCACAAGCATTTCAGTCTAATTTAGGCACTTGTTGAAAAACTTGTTGAATTCCCCCAAAACTCCCAGAGCTGACGCAGTGCCCCCTCCCCTCCCTCTGAGCTGTAAGCGCTTTGTAATAATGAGCTCAGTCAACACCCACTTTTACTCTCAGTATCTACTGACAAGTGTCATTTCAAAGGGGTCAGCGCAACACGGGCCTCCCCTGATGGAAGAATACATGTGTCTCTAAGGTTTGTCACTGTGTTGTGAACACTGCAGACTTTCTCTCAAATGTTTTCAAAAGGCGTTCAAGGCTGAACTGCAGCAACATGAGCTCAATGACAAATACACTGTGGCAACCTTGAGGTTTTATCATGACACATTTCTGTTTGTAGCCTTCATGGAATTGAGTGTTTAGAATATGTTGGTGAACATCAAACACAGGCCATGTTCCTCATGCCTGGCCTCAGACACTGCAGGCCTAATCATGATCATAGTCTATGACACAGGTGCTTATTTTGTGCTCCTTCCGCCAGAATTTTACATAACCACACCCTATCTTACTTTGGAATCTGTTTAAGCTCCTAATTACAGCATCAAGCAGGACTGTCCCAGTGTATCTGCTGTGTGCCCATTCTTCATACTGTGGGACCCTCCATGTTTTTGGCATGAATCCATCTCTTGCTGTTTGCCAGGATGATCAGCGGATCCAAAGTAAAGCTCTGCTCATAAAGAAGGCAGCCCAGGGAGAAGCTTTTCAGACTGCTTGTTGACTGCTGCGCTAAGCCACCACCATTTTGACAATTATACACTGTACTACAATACTGTGTCAGCTGTAATTGCCCGACGTGTGTCTTTTTCTTTACCCACAATAGTCCCAGCTCGAATGAGCATGTGGTTATAAAAAAAGTATATATAGAGTATTTACTTGATTTAGGGTTTTCCACATGACCAATGAATGAACCATCTTTGAAGGTTTTTCCCATGAAAGAAAGACTGGCATGAGGCTGAGGGCAAGTCACAGTAGCAAATGTTAGCCCTGTTATTATACTCAGTCATGACATGCAGAGGATTTTCTCAAGCATTCAAACTGAAGTCCTATACTACCCTATAATATCGTTTCTGCTGATTTGCACTGGGAGAATGAGATGTTTTTATTACATATAAAAACCATATTTCAGAACTATTTGGACTCTTCTGTTTTACTGAAACAAATATGTTCGATGAATGGATGTTTAGAAATGCCTAATTTTCCCATTATCTGGGTCGCAGTACTTCTTGTTCCATAAAAGCACATTAGGAGGATATGAGACTGTCTGCTTGGGTTGGTGGGACCTCAGCTCCAGACATCCCACTGGAGCAGCAGCAGCCCATTATGATGTCATGGGTGATATTACACATTAATGCCTTTAACAGGACCAGTGTATGGCCCACTGCCTTATGAGGGCTGAGACCCCAAATCCTGAATAAAGTCCCTTGGACAGGTTTGCATGGCTGCATGTATGTTAAACTGACTGCATTTTGCATGGTATTTTTCACTCTGTTTATGGAGAAAATTGCATTGATGCTGCAGGTCCCTTCCTTGTTTCTGCACATGCTCGCTGCTGCACAGCATGTCATTACTATAATGTGGATGTGCACAATGGGTTTTTAAATAGAAGACTATTATGAAATTATATGTGGGTACCATCCACGGTTTATACTTATAGTTATGTTGCCCTTTGATGCCTTTATCTACAGTAAATATTCATCTTTTTGTTTTATGCTGCTTTAAATCCACGCTGAACATCTGAGTTGAGTGTGCTCTCTTCTCTGTAAAATAAGGTCTGGCACTTTCAAAGCTATACATCTATCCATCTGATCCTGGATCCTTTTTCAAAGGAATCCAGCACTGGATTTTTGTGGTTTGTTTTAGACTGTGGCCACATGAGAACTCTGAAGGGAAAATTCCCTTTGAACTGGCAGTCAGCCACTGTT